GAATTGTTTAACAAAAAGTTTTACCTGCTTACTATAACATAAGTGGGTAGTATTACTATTGTATCTTATTAGCAAAATAATTTCCCAAACAAACACTAGGTAAATAGATAAACAATGTTTATTGCGCTCATACTAAGCATTTGCCAGCAGGTAGCCTAGTAAGTAGTAGGTATCTATGCGTATAGTCACGGTTCATTGCTAAAAAGTAAAATATTAATTCCCATGGGCTATTACTGAATTTCTTTCCAAACTTTGTCAAGTTCACGCATCAGCGCATACAAAGCAGCTTTGAAAGCATGCCCTATCTTCATTTACTGCACTTAATAAATGACACTGCAAGTTGAGGAGGGCTTTTCAGAAAAGATAACAGAAAATTCTGGCCATCAACACTTAACATTCCATGATAAATTCAACACATTGAGGATTTAGGCATGTTGAGAGTCAAGCAACAATTCAAATTGTAACTGTAACAGGAAATATTGCAGCTTTACAATGGTAAATTTAACTTAACCCGGCAGTTGCTGGGGTATTTCGCCACCCACCGTTTGCTGGGGGGGGGGGCGTTAAACGCCCCCAGCCGATAACTCGAGAACCAATAGGCGCAGCGAAACGCACGAGGCGGCAAACGAAAGAACGCGACGAGACGCTTCAGATGAGTACTTTAAAGTTGAATTTTGTGGTCACAGGTCGGGTCAAGGTCAGGTCAAACACCCAAAATCGGGCTTTCAGTAGCATGGACTTCAGGACTTCGCAATGGGCGCCTCTCGTCATAAACTCTGTCAAAACGGTACACAATCCATCATATAAGGCCTACAAGAGTGTCAGCTCCATGTAGGGGTCAGTCAAGCATAGGTCAGGGTCAAGGTCAGGTCAACCGGGTAGGCACATACCCCCGAAAATCAAAACTGATATTCCCAGCCTGTGACACATGTTTTATGGGTAAATTAGGGCGTAGAACACGATGGTGACATTCATTTTATCATATGTGTACGTGTTTGGCTCAAAAAGTTCACTTTAAGAAATTCATGTATCATGGTCGTGAAGTAGTCACGAGAAATTGCCAAGAATCAGTTCAAGATTTTGGAAAATGCGGAACGATAATCAATAATCGAAGATAGCCATTTGATTGTTCATGGTATTGGCAGTCTAATGGCGTTTACGGCATGTCTGTATGTCTATTGTGTGATTTTATATGATTTTTTGAACATATGACGTTTTTGGTCGAAAACTCAGAAATCATGACGTCACTAAAACCTTGATATCTCAAAAATTTTCCGACCGATTTTTTTGAAACTTTGTCACAATAAACTTCGATCAATTCCCTACAGGTACCCAAAATTTGGCGCGCCTGCGGCGCGCCGTTTTTATGCTATGGCCCGGCGAAAAAAGTGGGGGCGTTTAACGCCCCCCCCCCCCCAGCAACTCGCGGGTTAAATCAGAGCACAGTTGCAAGAGCTGGATAAGCTTCGTAAGCTGACAAACATGTACTTTATCGAAGAGAAAAACAAGCTACAACAAAATTTATCAACTTTAACTAGAGAATAGAATAATTACTAGTCTGAGACCCTGGCCGATGACAGCCTGGACCGGCCCGAATCATTTGAAACGGTTCGTTGAAGCTAGGAATAAGAAAAACACTTACCCTTTAATGAAAGAAGCTTCGCAAATCTTATAGAAGGATTAAAATAAAAGTAATACAAAAAAGTCAAAACAAAAGTATGAAAAAACGATTAAAACTCGAACGATTACGACACACCTCCACGCCCACTAACAAACATAAACATTACGGCCAATGCGCCACTTTTCGTAGGTTTCTCGTATGTTTTGCTCTCCGCCCTTTGCACTTCTGTGCTACCAGATTGAAAAATTTTATATGTAGTGAAAATAACTTCAAAATGATTCTTCTAGATGTCAGCCGAGCCGGACACTAGTGCACCTATACAGCCTTGTGAACTTATACGGCCTTGGCCTTGTGCACAATTGGATCCCGTGCGCCTGCAGTCTGCACCGCAATCTGCAAGTGTAGAGTGCAGAAGCTGGAAGTGCAGTAAGTGCACACTGCACAGGGAACTTGACTCATATCTCATGACCTGACTCTGAGAGCAGTCCTATTGGAGGTCTACCGTCTACCTACAGGTATGTTATTGTTGGCATTGGCAAGCTTGCCTGTTAGCTGGCAGGGCTAGAACAATGTGCAATGTTAATTGCTATTGACCGTAGCAATTAACTCACGTCGGACCAACCGACTTATCTTCAAATTTGCCTGCCGTGTTGGGCGGATACCTATGTACATACGACCCCCGTTGCTTCTGCGACCGAGTAAAGCCAGTGCCTCCCGGCTCGGGGGAAAAACGAATGCCACGAGATGCAACCATGGCCTATGTCAATGTAGTATGTACTGTACCCAGCTTAATCGGGTCAGGTGGTGAGTGACGACCTCTGAAGTCAGGTCACAGACCCATCACCGTCCCGTCGTTTCCTCCTCAAGACAGTGAAATCCTTCTCCTCCGCGCCTCAATCCCCTGTTCCGGGCTGGACGAACAACTTTATCTCATACCTAAGGGAAGCTCTCATCGGAGCAAGCCCGTAGCCGGGTGCAGCTGGAGTGTTATGGGGGCTGGGTGGCCTGCCCACTGGATGGACTCCGCCCCGAGTCCCAACGACTCACTAGGGTTGCCGTGCCCGACCGGACCAATATCTCCCCCTAATTCCTATCATCCTTCCGGCTCTGAAATGGTCTCATTTGACCGAAAAAAACCGAACCCAACAAAAAAAAAATGAATAGTCTTCAAAGTCTCCCCCTAATTCCTATATCATCCCGCGGCACTGAAATGGTCTCATTCATTAGCGTCGCCACGGGGGGGGGGCAAGCGGGGCAGCTTGCCCCCCCCCCCCAACCTCGGACCGGGCACCCCCTGAGATCGATACAGATCCGATGAGATTTTGGAGTCGGGAAAAAATGGGGGTACCTTTCTGAGAATGCCTGTGAGGTCAGACTCGGTTGCAGCAAGCAGTTCAAACCAGAGTCTGACTCGCAGTCGCCAAAGTCTTGAAGACTCCGATTCCAGACTCGGAAATGTCAATGCTATGATTCATTCCATGTTCCAAGTTCGTTCTTTATTACATTTTACATAAGTTTTTTTTTCCTAAGTTTTGGAGTGCTGATACAATTTTCGTTCAAAGCGTGAAACGAAATCTTCGGGGCCTTTCTCAACTCTCGTCAAATGTCTGCGACAGGCTCAAGTACCGTACAAGTGTTGCAGGGCTCATGAGCTTGCTTTAACCCTCAAGGGCTCCTAAGGAGCTCCACTGAGCCCTAAAGAAGCCTTCAGAGGGCCCAAACCGGCCTCGTAAAGTCCCACTGGTGTCCATGTTCTCTGAGGGCCCATACAGGGATATTTGAGCCTTCGAACATTTCTGAGAACCTGACCTCTGATAGTTCAGCCAAACTTTTGAGGCGACAGACTTTGCTAACCCCAAGCCGGCATCTGAGGGGTCACAGCTCACGTGTCCCTCTGAGGTCCGCAACGCATGTTTATTATGTCCCTACGTAGGGTCCTTAGGGATTCGACACAGACCCCCAGGGTTCACACTGCTATCCGAGGGCTCCAGGCTCACCCTGGGCCTAGTCTCTTAGCGCCCGCCGCCCACACTGGCTTCCGAGGGCCCCACCCTGGGCTCGGAAAGCCCTAAAGCACCACGTACACGTAAATATTTGAGGTGACCCACGCCGATCTCCGGGATCCTAAGCATGCTTCTGAGAGTCAGCACCGACCCTGAGTGGCCTAAAATGACCTGGAAGTCCCAAACCTATCTCTAAGGAATCCCTTGCCGCTATGCCGTGCGTAGCTTTTGGTTCCGTTTAACAGTTTTTGTTCGCGTTTGCATCGCTTCCCTTCACACGAAAAACGAGAAACTTTTGTTCGCACTCGAGTGAACAAAACACTTCCTCTCACTGGAGCAAAGATGAATTACTTCCGATTCATACTTCCGACATTCACTCTCCGCCGAACGCCCAACTTAGCTACGATCAGGGGATGGGATAAGTCCTATGCATTTCACGTAAAACCTCTGCGTGCATGCGTGAATGGAGGTTTTAGCAGGGTGATCCGATTAAATGGAGCGTTTTCACCTTTTTCTGGGCAATGATCATGAGCGTCGAGCGTCTGCACAGGGGCCCTCTGCAGTGCGTCGGCAATCGCAGCCACTATATACTATAATTCTACCAGTCGTTTTTGTCATTAAATTTCAAAATTTCGAATTTTTCTGTAAAAAAAATACATGTCATAGCTAGAAGGAAACCTTTGTCACCATCGGATTCCTTTCACCATTGCGCGTCGAATGATATGTAAAACGAGTGAGTAAAGACTGGGGAAAGGCAAGTTTTAACACAAAAGTTGGTTTTGCCCCCCCCAACCGAAAATCTCTGGCGACGCCTATGGTCTCATTAGACCGCGCGGAAGAGTCTAACCCAACAAAACAGACATTAACGAAGTAGTCTTGGTGCGCTCGTAGCTTGTTACGAAACTGAGTGGTCACCAGTTGTTGCTACCTTATACGGATAGCCGGCAGGACGCCTACTGGTTGACTTGACCTGATCTGACCCGAACTGGCCTAAATGCATGAAGATATCATCATTAATCTGTGATCAAAACTAACATGACATTGGTGATCAGCATCCCGAAAACTCCTGTGGCAACCTTACCAAGTTCTAACACGTCCCGCTTTTCCCGATTTTTGGGTCATTGACCTGACCTGGAAGGTCAGCCAATGACGTAGGACCGTAAAATTGGGTGGCATCGGCTTCCTCTCCTCACGGGAAGCACGTTCGTTTTTTCTGCGAAGCTTTAGCTTGATCGGGCCGAACGGCAAGGCCACGGACGCCTCCCCTCCATAGTTAGATGCTGACAAAACTCGAATACGGCGAGGGGACAGCAGGCGTGGCGTACCTATATGGAACATTTTAGTGCTAACTGTCCTGATACATTTATGCCATAGGAGACGTCGTATCAGTTTTATTGTTTACCACATAAACAAAACCACTTACACTATTTGTCAAAATCACTCCGATGAAAGAATCACCTAGAAACATGTTAAAGATGTTACGAAGGCTTGATAAGAACACGATAAACCAAAATTACTTAATTGACAGGGCTGTCAATGACCAGGCTCCTGGTCATATGGCAGTCAGTTGATCCCGGACCAGTGCCATTATAACGCTCAAAAACACAGCACGATCAAACGCACCAGCACCCACATACCCACTCGCGATCTGACGAGGTGAACACACAGAACAATGCAGACATCGACCTTCGCTCCCATCCCGAACACATTTGAAGTAGGCATATTATCACAGTACAGCGTGCATCCCGCGCTGGTAAAAATGGTGCGACATAGTGCGCAGTGACAGTGAGCTCAAGGCGCACAGAGCATGGGCCCACGGGATCGTAATCAGTTCTGGCCGACCAGTGCGGCGGGAATTGATTAAGGCTGGTTATTACAATTTGGAAACTTAGATAAGTTAACCCGTGCCCCGTAGGGGGGGGGCCGAAACGGCCCCCCCCTGTCCTTTTCGGTCGATATCTCCTAAACGGCTGGAGATATCGCCACCAAACTTTCAGGACCCCTCCGGGCATCAATTTTACACATTGTGACCAAAAATTTTTCCAGAGGCTGTGATAGGTTGGCCACAAATGACGTCAGAGTGACGTCATGTTCTGTCATTTTCGACCGAAAAAAGACCTTCGCGAGAAGACCTGTCAGGCCTACAGCTTTGAAGATACAGAAAAATGATCAAGACATAAAAGGTGTAGAATTGACAGGGCTACAAAACTGCTATCTCGGATTTTTGAAATTTTTGAGTTTTGATCCCCAAAAATCAAAAAAGCATTTTTTTTATATATTAGCCAAAAAATCCAAAAAGTTTTTTGAGTTTCGAAAAAACCGGAATATATGTGATAGTGCCTACCGTCTTCTATCTACATACCAAATTTCAGATCGATACCTCGTTTTTTGGCCAAGTTATAGCGAAAAAACTGTTCAAAAATGATGACGTCAAATTTTCAAACTCAATTTTTGGCAATTCTAGAACTCGTAGAGCAAAACAAAGACCACCATTAGACTCCCCGTGACGAGCTGCATCGAATGGATACCCATTTTATGCAAAAATATCAACTTTGAAATTTGACCTAATTTGACCTGACCTTGACCTGACCTTCACCAAAACGTGACCTAGGCTGGCCCCAAAGGCTGCCTAACCCACATAATCGCATTTGTCATGTAAAATGGACCATAAAACATGTATCACACGACACATTCATATTGTGACCCCCGGTGACCTGACCTCGCTGTGACCTGACCTGGTATCAGTGACCTCAGATAGCAAAGTATGTGTTTGACGAACAATATACCATCGATGGTTTTCAATAAATTACCAATTTACTCGATTTCACAGCACATTTCTTGAATTGCCTGTGAACGGTGAAAATCTGACCTTTGACCTGACCTGTGACGTCATCGGTTTGACCTAGGTCAATGAAATTTGGTCACAAGGTAGTTCCCGGGTAGGGCTATCAAACGCCGTTTGAATTTTGAAAATCGGCCGGTAACTTTCCGAGATCTTAGGGGGGGCCGAAACGGCCCCCCCCCCCCTACGGGTGGTAGGGTCCGCCGGTAGCCCTACGGGGCGCGGGTTAATCATTTTGCAGTATGTCAGCTACTAAATGGGTTCATCTCAGTGTCGTCGGACGCGTTAAAAGTAACGTTCGAACGTTTTGATCTTCCCGTTCATTCCTTACGTAGAGTTTTTTCCCCATTGATTCAGAGAAGTGGGCGCTGGCTAAAAGGAAGCAGTATCACGACTACGTCACTCAGGACGACGCATTCGAACCGCTCAAACAGACTTCATTAAACGCTGACACGTCGCATGTGGTCCCTGGTGTGCATACAGTGTCACATGAGCTGACACATTGGACAGAACAGCACGCAAGCTCCCATAAAATATAAATACCGGCATAGTGCTCACATACTTCTGCTTAGCAGAAAGTCTCAGTGTGTAAGCTCTTCACAGAATTAACTGAGCGACAGCAGGAGTCGTCAGGAGGCGATAAAAGCATACAAGCATACATAAAAGCATGCATGTCCCGCCACTCGTACAGAACAATAAAGAAGACGCACTTTTAAGTTCTCGCATATAAGCAAAACGACGGCCATGAATAAAAATAGGTTGGATTCTTTTTTTCTACGAAGCTCCACATCTGTAATTTCACAAATTATTGGGCTCTAGCGTTCACAATCTTATATGAAATTATTGATAACCTAAAATGCGGGAAATGCATCCGAACAAAGGCGTAAAATTAATGTGGTAAATAATTATATCAAATCGATCCATGCGATGCCCCCCCTTGACAATTAATTGTGATAAGCCGATGTAAAAGTTGCGTCGAACTTTTCACATTTAGATACGGAAATACGCCCGATATATAAGACAGGCAATACAAGCTATGCAACAGCGCACAAGCACCTGACTAGGCCATCGCCTTACAACCATTATTGACGACCGACATGGAAAGAGTCCATGACTCCGTGGGAACAGTTTTGTGGACGGCGGAGATCACTAGCGGCCATCCCCAGTGTCCGTTTGACTGGAGGGAGCACTGGGCATCATTGCTAGTCACTAGTCATCGGTGTGGTCACTAGTCTACGATCCACTGCCACCGTTTGAGCTCGACAAGGAACAAGAGCTCTAAGCTCGTCACAGGCACCAGCACTGTCGGCACACGCCGCCACTGCCTTACAATAAAAGCAACTGGCACGAATGTCTACACTACACTTTGTATCCAGCCCCAGCGGCTGAACCTCGTATTGGACTAGTATGGCATCGCATGTATGAACTCGTGAAAGTCATGTCTTGTGCTCCTCCCCGACCCGTTCTATGACTCTCAGCAGGGACCCGTCGAATCGTAACACCACCAGACAGGCCTCTTTGGTCACGTGGACACATCCGTGATCGCTGTCGTCCCCCTGGAGGCCCCGGCCGTGCAGCTGGTCACCCCCGGCGCCGGGTCGCTCGCCCCGTTCTCCACCGCTCCTCGCACGGATGAGCCCACCACCTTCACTGGCCCGTCGGCGGGCGGCGGTAGCCGCCCCGCTGTGCCGTAGTACTCGTACGGCGGCGGCAGACGGTCCACCGACCCTCTCGGCGCGCGCACGGACGTCGCTCGCCGCGCTGAGCTCAGCGGACGCCGGGTGAACGCGGGCAGCGTGGACGCCGAGCTGCTGTGGAAGCCGAGCGCCACGCGCACCCGGTCGGTGAACTTCCCCAGGCCTCGCTCGTGTGTGCGCGCCACCTCCAGCAGGAGGTCGGGCAGCAGGCAGACGGTGACGAGCAGCAGCTGCAGCAGCCACAGAGCCGGGGAGCTAGCGACCATCTCGTACACGCCGAACATGGTGCTGTTGTCCAGAATCGGACTGCCGAGCAGAAGGAGAGAGGGGAGAAGTGATCAGAAGGGCCAGATCCAATGATCAGCTAGCAAATGTCATTTGTCTGAGATGAGGTCAACTGGGTTCAGAGAAAGGAAGAGCTGTCCTGATCGGCGCCTGGGTAGAAGTGGCATGAATATTCGACGGACAAGACAGTATCTAAATGCTAATTGCGTACAAGAGAGGTACACTGACCCTGTCCCAACGTACTCCGTTTCAAAACATCGGCTAAAGCTGCATTCAGAAAGATAAACGGTTGCCGAGAGTCGACTTGTGGTGGATTACTTACATCCTTAGGATTGAATAAACTGCAGTGAGGAATATGCAGACGAGGCTTCCACAGAAGAAAAGCCAGAAAATCCACGTCATGTATCTGCTCATGATGATCATCTGAAAAAGGAGAAAACGTTTTACATTTTTTTTTTGCTACAATTGGAAACAAGTAAGCAACGAACGCCATACGAGTATAACAGCATTTCAAGTCGACAGTCTTCAAGTCGACAGAATAACCAACTGCCTCCTTTTTTTCTTGATTGGTATAGCAGCATTCTTTTATCCTCTCGCGGCATAACTCGCTGTTCGATACCTTCAAGTTGACGACGAAGACGATGATCTGGCAGATGACCGTGCCGAAGGCATAGACGCCCATCATGCGACCGGACTCGACCATGATGGGGTCGGCTCGCCAGGTGTACCATACTAAGAAGTAGGGCACACTGGCGTGCCAAAGACCTGTGGGGATCCGAGCGGTCACCAGAGGTCCGAACGTCGTCACAAGAAGATTGGTCATTGATGTGAACGTGTAAAACGCCGGCTTCGAAATAGCTGATCACTACAGATACATTTCGTGATAAATTTATATGCGACGAAATATATGGATAAAATGATACCGGTCAATCGGAGTAATTAGCTAGCTAACAGCGAAAGCCAAATAAATCAGCACAGCCATCACGCCGAACACTTGAACACCGTATCGATGCTAACCGAGAAGAGTCCACTTGACGAACTCGCCCCAGCCGAGCAGCACGTTCTTCCCGAAGCGCTGGTAGATGTCGGGGCTTCTGCTGAGCGTCTCGGCAGGGATGTCCTGCTCGAGAATCCCGTAGGCCAGCGGCAGGGCGGCGGTGTAGAACACGTTGTAGAAGGTGAGGAACAGGCTGTCGTACAGACTCTGGAACGGAGGGAGCATCAGTAGGTAACTGAACAAGACAGAAAACTGGTGAATCATTCAACGTACTGAGGACGGCACCAAGAAAAACGTCAACTCTGGGTACGATTGAGGCTTGAATCGTGTCATTTTCTAGCTCACCGTGGTGGAGAAGTAGTTGCTGAACGCGAAGAACAGCTGCGGAGTGATGAAGGCGACGTTCTTGTAGAAGGAGTACTGCACCAGGTTGGCCAGTCGCACGTAGTACCAGTGGCCGTGAACCAGCAGAATGCGGCTCAGGAACCGGAACCGTCCGAAGGAGAAGTCGGAGCAGCGCGCTGCCTGACGACCCTCCCGACCCACCAGTCCTGCGGGCGGAGAGAAACAATCAGTCAGATACCAGAGCAAGGCTAAGAGCCCAGAAAGCTGCTAGATCCTGTTATACGACTGCCATAGGTCAACCACGTAAAGAAGACAATATCTGACTTCTGAGTCGAATATCTGAGCTATCAAAGTTTTACATTTTACAGGGCAATTTGTTTTGCTCGATATCTGCAATGCCATAATGAAACGACCATGATGAAACCCGGTCGATCGCCATTAAATGATTCAAAACACTTCGCCACTATCTATGTACGTTCATCCGACACCGTCCACTCTATTGGCAGGTCGGACACTTGTCATAGAATCACTTGTAAATCCAAGGGCAGCTCACCGAAGCCGACGTGCGCCTCCTGGATCATGGAGACGTCGTTGGCTCCGTCCCCGATGGCGGCCGTGATCGGACGCTCCTTGGAGTACTTGACCAGCTTCACCATCTGTCGATAAAAAGCAGACAATCTCTGTCAGAAGGACAGCATGGAGTCGAGAAGAAATTGAATGCAAAAAGATTTGCAAATTAATTCGTATGAAGGCGATAAGGTGCAACAATTCCTTGAAATCTGTGAAATTTTATGTGCAATATTCATGTTCGCAAATGAGAATCGATGGATTGAGTCTTACTTATGATATTCAAAACTTACGACATTCAAACATCTTTCATATCGCGCGGTCGGAGTTGGCGATGAGGAAATGGTAGGCGTTCCGGTACAGTCTACCTTCAGGCGCTCACTACTACCGCCATCTATCAGCAGCGGTGTAAGGTCTGCGGGACAGTCTAACTCGCGCTAAGTACCAGCGCCATCTATGAGCAGCAATGAATGGTATGCGGGACAGCCTACCTTCAGGCGCTGATTACTATTTACTAGCGTCATCTATGAGCAGCGATGTAAGATATGCGGGACAGTCTAACTTCAGGCGCTCACTACTAATGCCATCTATGAGCAGTGATGTAAGATGTGCGGTACAGCCTACCTTCAGGCGTTTGCTCCAGGCTGAGACGGCCTTATAAGTTATATGTATGTACATACATACATACGTATGTACAGGGTGTCCCATAATTACCTGGACATTGTTAATTAGCGTATAAAATAAGGCAAACATGATTGCGCTTTTTTCTTTTTACCGTCCTATATAGTCAACTAGGGTGGCTGTGAAATAGCACATGCAAGAGACACGCTTGTTACAAGATCAGCCGACAATGATGGAAAATGCCAGCCATTGCTGGTCTCAGTTGTTTTACGGGTCTCCCGAAACGGGGTGTAGGCCTGTTTTCTTTGACCTCTTGCCGGAGGATAATACGATCATATAAGATAAACTTGACATCAAAGTGTTCCCAGGCCATAAGGTATTATCCCCCAAAACAAAATTTCTGCCTACGCCACTTTTGCTGCGTTTTTTACATCTGGAGTGGAGAAGCTCCATGTCTGAACATTGCGCAACCTTTGGCTTCCAACAGATTTGGTTTCCAAAACAAACCCGATCATGGCCATTTGGTTCACGGCATCCAGTTTTCGCACTGGCAGAATATTACCGCAGTAGTACTCTGTGCTAACGGTTGTCTTTGGGCCATCATATCAAGCCCAATGGGTGCAAGGTGGCTCAAAATGTCTCACAATTTGATTTTCGACGGGTGCCTGGCCGTCTCTGCTGTTGGGGCGTTGTAGCCATCTGACGTTCACACACGCCTTTTTCGGGCGGTTCAAATGACATAATACCTTCGTTAGACCACAAAGTGTGCTTCAATATACTGCTTTGTTGTGTGTATTATGTTTTTGGGATGAATTGTAGTGATTTGCGCTGCTTTTCCCGTAGTTTTCGCATATTTTTTCTGGCGAAGGACCCCAAATTCCAAAATTTTGTCGAAGATAGTGGTGCAGAGTAGACTAATGTTTTGTAGATAATCCTGATCTATTGTTTAGCTAGTTTTTAGATAGATCGGTGACGTTTGTTGTCTATGACAAGAAACCACTTGTTTGACAACTGGTGCATGACCCTTTTTGGCCGAGCCCAAGCTTGTCAATTAGGTTTATCTCTTGCTCTCTCTGGCTTCGTTAGCTGATATAATTGCTCTTTGCTCAATCCTAACTGCTTGCAGATGAGCTGCTGAAGCTCTCCAGCAAAAACCATGCCGAAAGTCCGTTTACAAAGTTGAGAACGGGAGTTGATTCACCATGGTTGCCTATTAGTGGCTTAAGCTGAAAACGGGAAAGGACTACTCTTACTTGACTCTGGATAATAATTGATTCGAGTCGTTACCGGCCACCAAAAGCACACAGTCCCCAGTCTCGATAGCTAAGGGATATCTTATAAAAGTATGATGCTTGTATATCATTAGAAGCGGGCGCAGTCGTACTTTTAGCCAGAAAACAAATGTCCGGGTAATTCTGGGACACCCTGTAGGTACGTACTAACTAAGCGTTGAAGAAATTGATTCAGATTAAAATAAAGCATAATAATTTATTTGAGTTCGGTGTTTAGGACACGGTAGATAGGTATAGTACAATTATTACAAATTTTTCACTTTTTGCGTTGTTCTTTACCTCTGCCTTTTGCATCGGCGACATTCGGCAGCAGACGACCGCCTGACATCTGGTGGCGACATCGAGAAGCTGGTGGCGGGTGTCCCTGGAGTGAAGAGCCAGCGTAAGGCTCTCGCCGTCCAGCACCAGGCCGAAGTTACCGTGTATCTCCTGACCGGTCCGCAGGCTGGAGGGAGGAGCGATGGTCAGCGATGGGAGAGGTCAGAGTCGGACAGCTGAGCGTACTAAAACCCGCCTCTCAAAAATTGATCCCATTATCTCCAGCCCCAGGACCATATCAGCCACCAGAATCACATTATGACACCAATGTGTTACTTCAGCCTCTCCCTCCGTGACTCACTCGTGCTCGGCCAGCGCCTGTCGGAGCTCAGGCAGGGAGCGGAATCGGACCACCCGCAGCATGGTGGTACCGCGCTTAAAGTGGCCGCACGAGGTGGCAATGTTAACCGCCGTCTCCACCTTGTCCCCGGTCAGAACCCAGATCTGCCGGTCACGTGATGCACCAGGGGTCAGCAGCGGTGGAAGAGGGTGGACATGGTAGAACTCACGTGATCTGTGAATGTCATGTAGACGCCATTACTAAGCAATATCAGTTTACGCAGAATTGCAGAATTATTTGAATATTTTGCACGATCTATCGGTAAACTTTCGGAGTCTGACCTTGATTCCTGCCGCCCGCATGATCTCCAGCGTGGCTGGCACGCCCTCCTGGAGTTTGTCCTCGACTCCCGTGGCGCCCAGGAGCTCCATCTCCGACTCTATCTCAGACACTACCACCTGAACAGTACACACGGTACACACAGAGGAAGCCGTCAGCAGCTTACAAAAACGACAGCGAACAGCTGATGACGGCGAGAATGAACAGATACTATCAATTGTGAATTGGAATGACACGCCCTATTGAACTCCTCGTTGGCTGATTTGGATATTGTTCTGTCGCCTGAACTCAGTAAGTTTCTCGGCAAAACGCTACCTGGTGACGAAACTGTGAACTACCTCCCGAGCTCAGAGACTCTGGCGGACAAGTTACGAACTACATCCCTCGACTGCATAGTTGCAGTTGGTCCCTTACCCTGACTTTCTCCTCCCGTCGGTTCATGGATGATCTGGCCTGGTTCAGTTTCAGGGAGAATTCGTCCAGCTGGACCTTGGTGAGTTCGCGCCAGGCAAACACCAGTGTCCGCAAACCCAGCTGTGGGTGGATTGACACATGTCAAATGCTGAATGGCATGACGCTCAGCATTTATGGCACGTATTCAGCATTTATGTACGCGAGCAATCGAATGCACACTTATTATCAAGCAATAAAATTAACGAGTTTCGCCAGTAGGTACCGACATCTATGTCTAGTGTGACTACAAAACGTTTTATGACGCCGTTTTATCATCTTTTTGTTGTCCGTTTTATCATCTCTATCTCTTTGCAAGCTCATATTCGAATTCCCAACAATAATTTCCTTGCACCTATTGCTACGGCCTTGCCCATTGCCTCATTTAAACGAACTCCCTTCCAATGGACGGCGCTCGTCCCGTTATACACCCACCATAGCGTAGTAGTTGACGTGCTCCACGGTTCGTTCTTTGTCGCCCTCCACGCACTGCGCGAGTACCGTGCTGTCGGCGCCCTTACAGAGCAGCATCACACGGCCCTGGGCGTCCTCAACGATCACAGACATCCGCTTCCGATCTGTTGGTGAGGAATCGTAGCGTGAGAACGATATTGTGATATATTTACATATGGCTTCCATAATTCGTCATGGCTTTGAATGGCATCGCAAGTAAACCGTATAAAAAAAACAGGTTGAAAGTAAGATGGTTAAACAATAAAAAAAAACTAAAATTGTGTGCTCTTTATAACGGTTTGTATCGGACATTTAGCAGATACGTGTCGTATTATTTTGCCGCTTGCGAGCCGTGTGGGTCTAAAGCAATTAAATATAAAATGTGTCACTGTCCAGTTGCGGCCGGCTGGCCATGCGTGACCCAGCGATCACACCAAGGCTTTCAACCCACCGGGTTCTCGGGCCTCGACTGTGGCTGAGCTGCAAGGTCGCGTATCAACCGTCTGTAAATATCCGAGGGAATTCTGCAGTAAATAATATTAACCTTTCTATAGATATGACTTCGGATATGTTGATTGTAGGCCATTTTATCTCGCAATGCTCCTCCCAGTGCTGCGATTGCCTGTTCCCATCCCGTTACCATCGTTCATGGCCGATTATCGCGCCTGCAGTCTCGCGCTCAGTAAACATATCGCTCGGCTGTGGCGACATTGCTGCGTAGTACTCTCCTCGAGCCTCAGTCATAACGAGAACCTACTCTCCCACTGCGGCAAATTCTACGGCGTAGTTAATACTACTACGGTGCAACAAACGTAACGCTCAAAGGCTGCGACGCGCCATTCGTGAATGATAAGGCGCAGCGTGGCCTCCCACAGCTCTGCCCTTCAGCGGCACTCCATTGCTCATGAACGAGTGTTTGGCCTTGAAACGTCGAGGCAACAACGCAGCAGGAGAAACAGAATTAACCACCGCGTGAGCAGCATTTTATGAACTTTGCCGCTCAAGTCCGTTTAAATCTGTAATCTGTGCGGCACGTAACTAAAAGTGAAAAACAACTGGGCCGGGACTCTCGAGTGGGATTTCCCCTCTGATTGTGTAGCTCAGCTGAGTCTAGCTAAATACCGCAGTATGTTGACTGTTGAGTGTCCAAGGCCAGGGGCCCACTCCCCGCCCCCTCCCGACAGTGCACTGGCTGCGGGCTCGCCGGGACCGCCCACGCTACTCGTGCCTGGAGTCTGTCTCACGGAGAGGAACCTAACGCGACTGACGGGGATGGTCCACCACCACTGCAGTGCATTGGATGGCCTTGCCCCGCCCACGCGAGTACGGTGCACTGCAGGAGGCCCCAGCGGCGAGGGGCTGACGAGCTTAACACAACTGCTGAGGACTGATTGACGGACGGGCTATGTAAGAACTGGTTATCGGGATTATGTCTACTGACTGGCATGATTGCTATATTACTAAACTGGCTTCCAAATTGACGGGTCAGTGCGGATGTCGTTTTCGAAGCCAATATGTGATCAGACTTTAATGTTCTACAGGTTTTCACCCTCCATCAGATGCTAGGAAAATCACACTTGTGCCTTTAAAATCCGGCGCTTCGGGTTTCCTAATCCCTTTTCTAAGAAGCCAATAAAACCTTGTCGTTCTCGCAAGATGACCAATGCCCGCCATAACTCACCGGAGTCGAATTCCAGGACGTGAAGCCGTTTGTAGTATTTGACCTCTCCCTTTACCGTGACCTTGCAAATGTCGTCCGTGATCCCGCCGAACACGACGCCGAACCTGTAATAGGCAGCACGGTAAGAACAAGGCAACGTGGACCATGGTAAATGGAACTTTCAGATCTGTCACTGCAGCAGGCGTGTCACGACTCACGAACGCGCATCCCCCTCTCATAGCGTGTTTTGCCATTCTGGAGGACGTCGTTCTGAGTGGGCAATGGTGTGCAAAAGGAACGCTGACAGCCACACACACTCGGCCAATTAAGACGCCATCCAGTCAGCCCGGAACACTTGCTGACAGACAGTCAACAGTAGCACCTTGGTCAACAGTTGCACGGCCGTCAACAGGGCTAACGATGTTGACAGTTGTCAAACGTTAACGGTTCGAGACGCTCCACACTCTGAGATGTCAGTGACCGACGGGCGCTTGACTCGGTAAATAAGGCTGACCTTCGCGGCTATTTATTTACATCGGAAAACGTTTAGTGGATATTCCGCATTTCCTAGTCTTTTCATTGCTTTTTTATGGATTTCTTTTTCAAAACATTTTATCATATACTTACTCCTATCGAATAGCGAAACAGAGTGTGTTATGCTACAATCTCTGTGTCGTCTTGATTCTTGAAGCTCTTCTATATATATTTGATTCTGGTCGGTCTACCTCCATTTGATCTGACCTGACCTGACCTGGTTTCGGTCACTGACCTGCTGCACGCCTCGACCAGCGCCTTTTCGTCGGGGCTGCTGGCCTGGTATCTGGGCAGCAGGTCGTCTGCGGTGGCCTCAGTGACCTGGACGGTGTGACACAGCGCCAGAGCTGTCAGAAAGCCGTCCAGCTCCGCCATCTGAAACGCAAAAACGGCAATTTTAGGGACGGCTTGAGTTGGTAATGGTCTCTCTGGGCCGAAGTTGTAAAAGGGTGTGGTAGGAACTCTTCCTAACTTTATCACTTAAGAAAAATGGCAAAAACAATGAAAATATAAATAGCTAGTGGTGTAAACAAAACGATGTTTTGACAGTCTCATTTGTGCCGATCGTGTCTCACCCTCATTTCGGGTGAGATCCTCTGGAGTGCGGCCTGACCCCGTCTGCGGGAGTCGTGCAGCTGGAGCTCGCCGTTCACCTCCTTGTAGTTGAGTCCGGCCACCGAACAGTGGTGGAACTGCATCACGTTTTCCGTCAGCGTGCCCGTCTTGTCTGAGAATAGGTACTCCACCTGAGGGAGGGGCGTCAGAGGTCAGAGTGGCCGAGAGCAGGTGCTCCACCTGTGGGAGGGGTGTCAGAGGTCAGAGTGGCCGGGAACAGGTACTTCACCTGCGGGGCAGAGTAGAGTTCAAGGCAGGCCGGGGCTTGGTAGGATCAGAAAACATATTTGTCCATGATGATTTATGAAAAAGTTGTCGATGTCAGTTGTTCTATTGCTGCGGCGTCGCTGCACTAACCTGCCCGAGCTCCTCGTTCAGGTCTGACGTGTTGGCCTTTGGTCGGATTCCCTCGTACTCCAGCTCTTCGTCCCACTCGAGGAACCGCGTGCCGGCAAACTTCACCATTTCTTAGGAGAAACAAACATAACGAGCGATGTCAGCTTTTACATAAAGTCATGCATGAATCGGTGATTGGCGAAAATTCACATATCAAAGTTTGTTTTTGTAGAAAAAAAAATTACCGACATGCCAAACCTGAGAAGAGCCCGAAGAAGCAGCGACATTGCCAGTTGACTTACCGACGGTGACGTAGAGCGATATGGGTATGATGTAGTTGAAGATGACCAGGAAGGAGAAGATGGTGTTGATCGGGGCGAACTCCTCCTCAGGCAGGTACCAGGGTGACCCTGTCAGAAGTAGAAATATCCAATCAGTACGACTGAGACGTCAGATGACAACAAACGACATAGTGCATGAAGATTGTAACTAGTACCAACGTTTCTACATAGCTGGAATAAATTGAATGTGATGAGATTAACTATTTATATAGATGTTTGTTGCTTGCCTTTATTCGCTCTCCTACCTACCTCACCAGCAATAGCTATGGCTGGGACTCTGTCCAATAATTCATGATCAAGCAAACTGACATTCCTAAGCGAAGCCTAATAAATGGCTAGCTCGTGACACATTTTTGGACGAATTCCATGCTGATGCAAGAAGCACAACAAGCACAGCGCGCGGAATCTCACAGCGCTCTAGCCAAGTGTCACTGTCACCACAATCCGCTGAGCTGTTTGCCCCTGTCCATTCTGTCCGCCCGAGGCCCGCGATGTGGGGCCGGCTGGGTGAATTTGTTTGTTTGTTTGTTTGTTTTGTTGGGTTAGGCCCTTTCGGTCGACAAGACCATTGCAGAGCCGGAAGGATGATAGGAATTAGGGGGAGACATTGGTCTGGGCAGGCACCCTAGTGAGTCGCCGGGGCTGAGCTCGTCCAGAGGACAGGCCACCCAGCCCCAAGGCACTCACTGCACCCGGCTACGGGGTGCGCTCCCTCAGGAGCAGCGGTGCCGCTCCAAGGGAGCAGCCCGCATGAGATAAAGTTGCCTGTCCAGCCCGGAGGGGGGTTGCGGCTTGGAGGAGAAGGATTTCAGTATCCTGAGGATAGAAGCACGGATAGGCTGGGTGAATTGCGGGGGCTGCACTATGTAGCTGGGTGATTGGTCCTTCTTACCGGAATGATCCGAGTCTTGCATCTATTGTCCCTCTATGAGGGCGGATGAGGGACAATGAGGCAAGATTTAAGGGAATACTTTTAAAGGAGCGTGACCTGACCTCACGGCTCGTGAGAAGCGGGGACTCCCTAGGCACTGCGTCGCGCGTCTTACCACTTTACCAGCGGTACCAAGACCGCAAGTCAGTGCACTCGCATCATACATTGGCGTCCGGTTATGCGAAGTTGTACGGTTTTGCGCAACGTTCTCCTGTGTGTTCTTTTGAATTATGCATGTCTGTTTGCGATGAGGGAAGCGAGGAGCTCCACTCGTTAAGAAGTTTTATCGTGAAAGTTGGTGTGGATATTATGTTAACTGGAAGGTAAAATGACACCTTTTATTGAAATGTAATTTAATAGTACCATAGCTTTTGCTGATGGGATAAGTAAATTATCCGTTTAGGCGTAGAGAAAATACGAGTATCATGTGACCAGACGCCTTTGAGCCTGATAACCACTCAAAATAGATGAGGGAAACCTCAGCAGCACACACTTCTTTTTCCCATAAAACTAGATTTACCCGTAGTAAATTACTGCTATTCGCTGTTTATTCACCACCGTGTGTGACTTGCCACCTTTGGCGACGGTAGTCTGGTTTTATCCGACTTTCTCAATTCTCCTTACACAGTCAGCACTGGTGTACGTATGTATAAGTACCGTGTGCACTGTATCCGGACATTCCAGAAGAGGGGAATACGATCTTACAGTCAAATGACGTCACGGTCAGGGTGAATAGCAGAGGGTCATAGGGGCACAGATCTCCGAGGATAGAAACTTCAGTAGGCGCAGGAGCATATGATGTCACCCGGTCTCGCCTCTGCATTGTAAGTCAAATGTGAATGAATAAACGTGCGAGCTTTGTTCCAGGAGTTCAAATTAGCTATTGCAAGGCCAAATAACAAAGCGTCGGAGACTTGTTAGTTGAATATGTTGCATAACTCGGAGCATTTTGTGGACAGCAGCTGTGTAAAAAATTAGCGCATCGAATAGGCATGGACAAATACAAATAAATGTCGCTGTTATACTTTACGGCGTGCCTTATTAACCCGATTTCTGGCTTAATATAGACAGATAACCACGTCACAATCAATGAAACACGGTGAGTCATTGTTTCCTAATATAGCTGTTCATTTTCAGGAAATCCTCCCCGTGGCTAATCCCCCCTCCCCCTCCCCCATCCTGTGACGGTGGGCGCCTCCAGGGGCCATTCGAGCTTGATTACCCACCGGCACTGCCCGGCCGGCGGCCGTCGGTTCATCTACCGAGCTCTCATTTGTGCGGTGCACCCTTCATAGCGGCGGCTCGTGCCCTCTCTGCCCTCCCCGATCGACTCGATCGGCAATCGACCGGCTCAATTGTCTCATTGACCCGAGGGGCAGTCGGACCGGCCTATAACTCGGCGACTGGCATTCTGACCAGTCCTCTTACCCACCGGTGTGTGAATATTGCCTTACTTACACCATACCCTAGATAACTTACCCTATGATAACTTACTTAAAGGGACACTCCCACCTTAACATTAGTTTTGAGTTGAGATAGCCAAATTGGTGGCCATGGCCTGCAAATACCGGTTTGGGCACTCAAAACATCGACAAATGCTTTAATTCGGAGATATGGAATTTCAAACTTGCAGTTTTCGGATTCTAAGGGGCTAGTGCATTGGTATGCCCCCTTAGAATTTGTGACGTCAGCGGAGATCTAACGATTTTTAAATCTTTTACTAAAACGTTTGGTAGCACGCGGTGGTATATGCTGCTTTGCGCGCAACAAATGCCGCACTTTCAAATAAAGTCGCTAGGAACAGCGGAGATCCCAAAAAATAAACAAAAGTAAAAGTCTAATATCTTGAAAACCGGTGAATATTTTTCGATGAAATTTGGCAGATATTCGTTTTCGCTCTTTCTGAACCGAGCGACATCACTTTCGTGCCAATTCATTAACTTTTTAGAAGGTGGGAGGGTCCCTTTAAATGTAGATAACTTAGTCTTTCACACAGCCATGTTTTTTTTTTTGGCCATCTGACATGATTGTGATTGACGTTACCCAAAACTTATCAAAGTCCTTTCCTGTCAATGCACGTCCGCAATATCCGGCCGACAACAGGACGTGGTAAAACAAGGTGGATGATAAGCGATGCGCTTGTCAAAAGAACAGCGAGCATTACCTATCTTTGGAGCCTTAGCTCGCATCCTGTTTTTTTTTTCGAAGTAGAGGTAAAATGCATGCGCAGAATTTGACACTGTAAGCCGATAGGGCTCATGAACTGCCGTCGCGCGAACTGAGCTTTATCATGCCATTATTCTATAATGTTACTGTATTAGGAGACTATGCTGCGATAAAGATATTATAATGGCAATTTCGGTGAGCTTACCTTCCATGAGTCCGTCGTCGCTCGTCACGGCCTCCTGCGTCTTCTGGTAGAAGAAGGAGAACAAGGTGGCAAAGGTGACCTCGCACAGCAGCAGCAGCAGGAAAAACACCAGGAACTTGTTCATCGACCTGGCCACGAAATTGAACACTGTCAGTGACTCAATGGCTCTATGGTGTGTCGTTGATATTATACCTGCAATAAGCATACAATACGACCAACAGATATAATTTCGTTTAATTAAATTCATGCGTCTGCGATTTATTGGCAGACTTGAAAGGAGACGCTCCTCCTTCTCCCTGTTCCATCCCGTAAAAAGACACCTAGGGCGACGCGACGATGACAAATGGCCCATTTAGCAGCCTTCTATCTGAGGGAAACGTTTGGCACAACATTCTCTCCAGTTCTATTGCAACTCACTTTTCCACGGACGAAAACTTGTTGCTTGTGATTTTCAGGTTCAGTGCCAGTTTGGTGTCGCGGCCAGTGTAGATGGCACATCCTGCGGATGAAATATGACATACTTTCACTGCACTACCCTGCTGTATGTATGTATGTGAAAGAATTCTTACAAAGATACGAATTAAATGTTGGTAATTCCTCGCCATATATTCAAGGTAATTTAAACAATAAATGACCATAGAATATCACAATTGAGGTACCATAAAAATGTGATAGGTAAAACGTAATCCGTTCAATATATCTGTTGTTTGCCAAAGCAGCATCAAGAGGGAAGCTTCCCATCCTCACTTGTGCTGAGCCCCCGGTTGCAACAGCTCGTCATGAGCCCGTTTGAAGTTCCCTATCTATTCTCTATAGGTGACCTACGGTCGGTGGCAGGGGTCGCACTCGCGTCATATTTAGGGTGAAGCTGTTGAGTGGGCCAGATTAAAAAGCTTGTTTAGAAGAACTTGTTGCGTTGCCAGACGCCAGAACAAAAGCCATCTCGAGTGTTTTTCGTTACTTGAAATAGCTCAGCAGATGTAACCAGAGCGATCCGCTATGATGAGCACATGTGATACCTGAGTAATATGATTATCAATCGGCACAATCATCGGCTCTTCAGATCACTCTTAACAATCGTGTAAGTGTTTCACGCAGGTGAGATAGGGTGGCGTGACGGTCCCACGTGCTGTCCGTGACCCCGCCTCTCACGTGTTTCATAGCGCGTGTAGAGGCCACGGTACAAATAGCGCCCTATCAATGCCGCAGATATCTGCGTTTTACAGGGATCTGAAGTGCCCCTGACCCTCCCCGGCCCACGACGCACGCACAAGTGGCATGACGACAGCCGCAGGGCGGACCCGGATGGTCACTTGTGATGTGACCGTTGATCACGCGGCCTCTTATCGGGTATAAAAAGTAGAATGACGTGATTGATACTGCCGCGGAGACTCAGTTACTAGGAGCTGCAAGATATGCGCCACTTGTTTCCTAGTATCGTTTGAAAATACGTTATGATGCAATGAATGTGAACGGATGATCCTTTGTGAATCATGTTCCTAAAAACAACTAATCGCAGGTTCTCAACATTCGGATGGCGTTTGTCCCTGTTCATCCCCTCCCAGCTCCATCTCCCTCACAGCTCTGTATCCTCCCCTTTCCAATCCCCTCTGTCCCCTCTTTTACCCACCGTAGATATTGGCGGTGTTCTTGAGTCGCGAGCCGCGCAGCAGGACGTGCTCCGGCCCCAGGGGCACCGACTCGACCGTGCCGCTGGCAGCGCTGTGGAACTTCATGGTGCCGATGAACTTGTACAGATCGGGCCGCGGGTTTTCACACTCAATGGAGGCTCTAATGGCGTCCAGATCGGAGACAGAGCGCATGTGACGCGTCTGGGCCGGCGACTCCTTCGTCTGAAAAAGGCCGTGCAGGTGGCAGCATACAATGTGAAATTAAATGGGTGTCAAGCGCTACTGGTAAGGTGCAGATTGTTGGGATGGGAGTTAAATACTGGTGCTAATACGGGAAAGATAATCTAGACGCTGAGCTCAATAATCCAAGGACGAACGCAGTCCCTTCTGCGCCATCTCGTAAAGCTGGCTCCGGTACTGTTTTATAACCTTCTAAATCAAAACCGGTTAGCACGGATTACCAATCTAAGAGAGCTCCTGTGTCCCTGGAAATCCATACCACGATCAACAATTATTCCAGCTTTGCAGATTATTTCCAATTAGTTCCGTTCCTCAGAATTAACCTCACACGGCAGTTTTTGCTATCTTCTGCGCTACATGTATTTTTCCGGAGAGCCGCAGGATTTGATCCCTTCCTTCCTTAGTAAGATGATCGACTGGGAACTCCATCCACAATGTCTCCGGTCAATTCCTGTCCCTGAGCTACTGAACGGTCACCACTGCGCAGCGTCGCGGCGATTTCCGCAGTCCGACACGGACACACTCGTCCGGCTGGTCCTCTGTCATGTGGAGAGTTATCTTACCTACAGGCTCTGTGACAAAGTCCCACCTGTGAAACACTCCCCTTCCGACTGGTCTTTGTTTGGCATATACCGACCTGTGAGTTACTAACTTTGAGGTTGGTCTGTCTGTATGCATCTGAGCCCATCAGTGAGTCACCCACCTTGAGGTTGGTCTCTCCGTCCAGGTTGGCCGTCTGGATGTGGCACTGACCCTCCCGATCGGAGGATGTAAGCATCACCAGGTCACACGGAAAGTCCTCCTCCGCCCGCACACACACGATGTCACCCACGGCAATCCTCTTCGTCTTCACTTCCTGGAAAAGGACCACAAATAAAGAACCTTATCGACCGACATGCATGTAACTATATGTAGATCGTTTCCTTTTTCATCTAGTTGTACGCTGTGCAAGGCAAATCAAAATACAGGCGTATTGCAGAAACAGCATACGTTACGTCAAATTAACCGAGCTACGCCAAGTTACTAAATTGAACACGGACGTCTATAATTCAGCAGTGAATCCTAGCGCACTTTTATTCATCTCACCTGTATTCTCCCGTTTCGTATGACGGTGGCTGGTTTGTTGTTGACCTCGTCGTCCATTTTGTGTCTGAGCCAATCTTCGTAGCCTTGTTTGAGCATGGTGACGCACACGACAAACCCCAGCGGCATGGCGGATGTGACGGGGCTGACTGGACTGTCGATTAGACACTGGGCCGCCGCAGGTGACATAGGTCAGCAGAGGTCAACAGAGGTCACCGGATTGTCGATCAGACAATGACCCGGACCGGCGACACAGGTCAAGAAGAGAGGTCAGCAAGGGACTTAATAAACACTGCTTGCTGCATTGACATTGTATTCAATGAACCTGCGAAAAACTTAAAAGTGACTTTTTTGGTAGCATGCCTATTCGAATTGAGTTTTTGAAAATTATTTGTTTCACAGTATTGGAATATAATGATCGATTCTAATTCCAATGGTCCATATAGGCGAGCAATTACCTACTACTGATAGCTTATGTGTGAGTTGTGCCCATTACCTATATGATTGTGTATTACTCACGTCCTGCACAAATTACATCGCACTGAATTCATTAAAGTGACGACGTAGATATCATGCACACTATGTCTTATTTGCATTCCTCTCCATGCACTGCTGATTCGCTTATATCACCAAGGTGCGTGCAAACATATATGAACTCATTGCCGTTTACATACACTCGTAACAAAAGCCACACACATCGCAAGCAAAGTCAATAGCGGGCTTATCGCCTTATAGCTGGCATGCAGTGAAGAGCAAAGGAAGATATGAATGCTCTGCTTATTGGTGAAATCATCAGATCCGCCCTGTTGAAATTGTAAGATAGAAGCTGCCCCGCATGCTTAGATAAGGCACAGGATATGGGCACTTGTAGGCTCTTATCGCCAATTTCAAACAGACTGTGGCAACCATTTCATGGTATCAATCATTGGAAGTTCAAACTTGTTACCCGACATTAGAACGCCTAGGATGCATTGGAAATACTTTCACATGATTATCGTCAACTATCATGATTGACTTAATAAATTATAAGTTGTCTGTACGTCCGTCAGCCGTATGTGTCTTCTTGCGCCGGAACGGCGCCGCGTAGCGACGTGAAATTTGGTGACCACAAACTTTGGGTGGGGCGGACCATCGTATCAAAAAATGGGCGCAATCGGACCACGGGTACCGCGTCAGCGCGTGCATCTCTGCCGCAGGCTGGCCGAGGCCGGCGAAAATTGCCGGATTATCGTCAACATCATGCAATTTTACTCAGATGTTCCCCTATTCCATGCAAGCGGCAGTTGCGCGTCCGGCGGAGCGCATCATTTATATTCAGTTTCTGCACTATGTACTTGGAGAGTGGACTCTGTACGAGCCGGACTCAGCCGGTTCGTCCCGGCTTCTTAGCATTCCGGGGCACCGGTACCGGTCTGTGCACCGTCCACCGTGCACAGGTCAGTGAGACGTGCGGGTTACTGATACACGTCATTATCGACCACCTGTGGACTGGCGCCGTGGTTTTCTTTCCAGAGGATGAATTTAATGGAATGATATAATTTGTTGGTGGAATTAATAAACAGAGTAACTGTGCATCTAAGCGCCAAAAAGAGCTCATGACTCTAGGAATTATGATTTAAAATGCATTCGAGACATTTTAAATTTATTATAAAATCGTTCATGTGCAGGTCTCGTGCAGCTGATGCATCTCATTACGAAAATTATGAATCACCTGAATAAAAATAGCAGAAGCCTCTAAGCATATTCAAAGGCGAAAACCTATAAATAGCGCTTACCACCAAGAAGCTGTCCTCTCTACGTCACAGTCAACCTAATGACGTCACATTGACAGCCGAGTGACGTCATCGACCGCCGCTGGACCGCGGTTATTGCGTGTGATTGAAATAAGCGGTCCGTGCAGGCTGGCGAGAGGTCAGCCGCGCCATGGGGGGGGGGTCACAGGAGGTCAGACCGACGCGACGTGAGCACTGAGCAGGGGTTCAGAGTAAGGTTTAGGTGGAGCTTGGTGGGTCAGAACGTGACGTGACCGATCGTGACGTCACGTTCGTGACCGGGCGTGACTGAGTTTATCCAGCAGCCGCAGGGGGTGAGGGTTAGCGCACAATGACTCAGGGAGGTTGACCGTCGCAGTACGCCGACTGGAGTGGGAGTAAGCGCTGTTTACGCGGCTTTGCGCGTATTGCTGATAGCAGAGTGGATCCGGTTGCGGGGACGGTGTAAGCGGTGGTGCAAAACGTGTTTTCCGGTACCTGCCTCTAGTCATGGTCAAAGTTCAGGAAAATATCAGCATTCTACCTTGCAGCGATAGGCCAGATATTGCGTTGTTAACAATGCGTTGTATGCACAACTCCGCCCACTTCCAAACCCCGTGGGTCAATGACGGCACTCTGAGCCAGTGCAGCATATGGCTTAGAGCTGCAGCGGCCGGTCAGACCGTGGTAATTCAGCGTATTGGTCTTTGCCCAACTCATAGTCTGTTAAGTCTGATCTCCGATTTCAGTCAGATCTGAGCGGTCATGCTGGTTCGATCTGATGTAGAAGTCAGTTCACGGCTTTATGCGTAAGATGCGTAAGATGTTCTTTGAAAATAAGTTCTCATTACGAAATGGTTACGAATGGAAAGCAATGGATGGAATTAAGCAATTACCAAAAATAAGATTTAATAAATAATAGCATGCTTTTCCCCTGATCGTGCTTGCTGTGTACACACTAACAGCGTGGAGCGTGTATACAGCATAAATATGTATAACAGCGTGTATACCCAAGATTAGTGCAGGCCCATCTTTACCCATTCGCAAGCATCCAGCAGCCACTAGCGCGAGCCCGACCCCCACCACTCCTTCAGTCACGAGCTGAAGCCAGTCCCGCAGCAGTGGGAGCCCTCCCGCTGAGCGTGGTGTGCTGGGGAGGGGGCCAGGGCTCCCCGCACCCGTGGGCGTGCTGGGGAGGGGCGAGGGAGTCACTCCGATCGTGGGTGTGCTGGGGAGGGGTGAGCGGCGGCCTCGCTGTTAGTGTGAAGGCCACATGCTGGCGGCTCGTGCACTGTGAACGCGCAGAGCTGGCTGCACCTCCGCGGCGATCTGGCGAGCAGCGACAGCCGAGCAGCCGTATACCGTCTACAGCTATACCGTTCACAGCTAGTCACTCGCATGCAGTGTTAGTCGAGAGAACACACTCAGTTTAAATACCTGAACCATGGCGATGCAAAAGAAATACAAATTGGCCACACGGCGAAATTGCTCGAACAGATTCTTCGGTAGAAACGTCACTATCGAGTACTGCAAACATAGCACGCAAATAGTCAACCTTGAGTCAGTTCACACCGGCTACATTGCATTTTGCACAATCTGCGTTATCTGCATGGACGCAAACATACGTACGTATTCGTCGCTTGCCGTTTACCACCCAGCACGTTTTGCATTTTAGCTAGTGGTTTCCACCATGGCCTTGATGAAGAAATATGACGCTTATGGGTAAAAATAGCACCACCGTGCGCTGCGGAACTCGTGCTGCGGCGTCCAGGAGAAACCTGTACCCACGCGGGACACTCCCGTAATGACGTCACCGTTAGAGGCCCGCTCAGCTGAGTTTTGCGTCTTTGCACGACTGATCTGGTTCAGTCAGTAGTACTGACTGTTCTAAGCACCAGCTCAGACTATAGGTAGGTACTCACTTCTCAGTACCTACCAGACCTAATGTCTCAGGGCCTATTTTAAGACAATTTGACTGGGGTGGCCAGGCAGTGGTGGCGCCCCTGTCTCTTGTGTGGCCCCCCCCCCCCACCGAAATGCTGATGTGCGCAGCATTTCGATGGGGGGGGGGCGACACAATCGAGTCTCAGAATCTTTTATTTGTGACGGTAGTACGTAAGGGCTAATGTTTCGGGAAAGTGTCTGGAGGCGTTTATTGGCATAGTTTTTTTTTCTAACATAGCCCTTTCGGGCGCTGCATGGAAAGAATTCAGCCAAAAGTCGGCTGTGCATGGTGCAACCCCCTTTCGTCAGAGAACTTTTACTGCTTATGCCGATGGCCCTAAAATCCCCCCCCCCCGATCCGTCCATGATAAACAAAACACCTTCCCATCCCAAGGCAGCGGCGTCACTCGAGGTCACTTAACCGGTCGCCAGGATAGGGGAGGGGGGTCAAACGGACCCCTCTCGGTTTTTCGCGAATAACTCGCGTAAAAAGCGACCGATCGCGACGAAACTTTTGGTACCCTCACGATAATCAATTTTACACCTACCCTGAAAATTGTATGACCCTGACCCTAATGACCTTTGACCAGTGACCTACTTTTCAAGACCATGTTTGGTCGGAATCGCGATTCGGCGTGTCGGCTCGCATTAGGCGCGCGTTTGCAGTCTTTTCGTGGTTTCAAGCGTTCAAGCATGTGATATGATGTTGCTCCCATGCCAGCATTAGGGTGCAGGGTGTCAAGGTCACTGGAAGGTCAGGTCAGGTCATTGATCTTTGATGTCCTCAGTTCACTTTTTGGAGTTTTACTTGTTTCTAGGCTAGTTTTTGGAGCTGAATTCGAATTTAGCAATCATTTGAACATTAACGATGTAGTTTTGGTGCCTTCACTACATGTTACGAAGCTGTCAGAGGCGGTTGCCACTTACTACGAATACCCGGCAAAACCCTTACCGGTTGACCTGACCTGACCTGACCCGACCTGGCCTAAATGCATGAAGAATCATCTATGATCATAACTAACATGATATTCGTCATCAGCACCCCGAAAAACCCCATAGGAGCCACCCTTTACGACGTTCTAACAGGTCCCGATTTTCTCGACTTTTGGGTCATTGATCTGACCTGGAAGGTCAACCGATGACCTAGGACCTTAAAATTGGATATCATCGGCTTTCTCTCGTCACGGGCAACACGCTCGTTTTTTCCGCGAAGCTCTAGCTCAATCAGGGGCAAAACGGCAAGGTGGGGGGTCTAACGGCCCCCCCCCCTTCCCCTATACGTCCGCGGCTGGAAAAACACCAATACGGGCGAGGATTAAACCGCCGCCCGCCAGATTTTTCTCTTGGAAATACCCTCGTCAGAAGCAATGCGTGCACGTGCGTTTGAAAATCCGCTGTTGATCACGCGGCCAGTCTCAAAGCCACATCACAATTCAATTTTGCGGCCAATATCTCGCCACGCCACTGCCTCGAGACGCTCTCCAGATTTTGAAGAGCTTATGGCTCTGTAATGCCAAGAAAGATGCATTGGTGACCACTGACCAGTGTTGTAATTTGTATATTGCTATTTGTCATCGATGCGCCATTGATACCTCAACCGAGATATCTTCTCAGTTGTGGTAAGGCGCCTGAATAGTAGGACAATCCAGTAGCGGTATGGCGTCCCTGAGGGGCGCCCCAGTAGTGACAGGGCGCTCCAGTCTCGGTAGGGCGCCCCAGGCGTGACGGGGCACCCCTCAGTAGTGTAATGAAGCCCCAGTAGCGGCATTGAGCCCAAACAGCGGTGGGCGATCCACTGGTTGTAAGGCGTCTCAGTTGTGGCATAGCGCCCCAGTAGTGGCAGTAAGGGCGAGTTAGTTACTTGACTTACTGCTAGAGTAAATGCGCCCCAGTAGTGGTACGGCACCTCAGTTGTGGTAAGGTGCACCCGTTGTGATAGGGCGCCCCAGCTGTGTCAGGGCGCCCAGTGATGGTAGGGCGCCCCGGTTGTAGCAGGGCGCCGGAGTAGTGGTAGGGCGCCCAAGTAGTGGTGGGCGCCCCAGTGGTGGTAGGGCGCCTCGTGGCGGTAGGGTGCACCAGAAACTTAGGGCGCCCCAGCACCAGCGGAACGTCACAGTAGTGTTACGACGCCGCAGTAGTGGTACGGCGTCCCATTTCTGATAGGGCGCCCAAAGGTGGTTGGCGCCCCAATCGTGTCTGGGCGCCCCAATGTTGATAGGACACTTCAGTCGTGGTAGGCGCCCAAGTGCTGGTAGGGCGCCCCATTGCCGGTAGTGTGTCCCAATCGAAGTAGGGCGCCACAGTTGCGCTTGCGGCAGGGCACCCCCAGTAGTGAGAGGGCACCCCCATTGGTGGTGGTGGCGCCTCAGTGAGCCCTTTTCCCCCTGTCAAGCTGAGTTGCGCCCCAAGAATGTGTCGCATCCGTGATTGTCGGCAGCCAATATATGTGGGCGGACTTTTGGGCTGTTTTTCACTGGGGTGGCAAAGTAAGACGACTGGGGTGGAAAACCGCACCACTGGGGTGGGTTTTGCCACCCCAGTTAACATGTTAAAATAGGCCCTGTAATGTCTCGCATTTGCTCTTGACGAATATATTAACATTGAGTAAACGATCGTGCATAGAGGCAATTTCCCTCTGCAATTACACATATTACATAATCGTTTATATGCCTTTCCTGTTTTCCACGAATACAGGATGCAGGATGCAGGAAAAACGCCAGAAGTGATCCATTTGTTGTAGAGCACAGATCAGGGAAATAAAACGTTGATATTTATGCAGCTACGGCCCAGTGGAATGCATGGGCGCTCCATCGAATGTTATATCGCCAAAAATAGGTTCTGGCGCTCACAGTGCATCGTGCATTCATTTGGAAGCCGGTAGTGCGTCGAAGTTTGGATGACCTGGGGCGCCTGTGTCTGATAGACCGCTGAAAGGTTGACCGATTACAGATTTACCAGTGAACAGTCCAGTTATGAGTCCGACTTTCCAACTGTCGGAGGCAGTTTGGGAAAATGTTGGACAGATGAAGTCGCTCACAGGTGAGAGGTTAAAGATGTCTGAGCCTCGCTAAAGGCGTGCAAAGGTGATGGAGCAGTGTCCTGGCGTTCCATGACTAAGAACGCTGAACAGTCGGGACAACAAGGGCGAAAATGAAAGCTCAGACGATAATATCTCAGACCATTCAGAAGGTGAAGCCGTTCACTTACCCGACACAGACACAGACCAGACATTACCTAGGCTCGTTCGGCACGAAACAAGACTAATTGTTGGAAACAAAAATAAAGCTTGACATTCACATCATCTACAAAGACGAGCAAGCATTGGACGAAACCAAATAAAAACTGCTGAAACGATCACATGAGGCTTTTTTGACAGCACAAAGCGTAATGTTGTCCATAATAGTTCAGTAAAGATCACGAATAGACGGATCAGATCATGGACCATTAGTACAGACGAAAACTCACAGAAATGTAGGTATCTGAACACGCAAACCCAGGGCTTTAGGCCACGGACGAATTTCGATCACATGCCAAGGACAATGAATATGAATGACATAATATATGCCTGCACCTACTGGCCGGTGTAAACGAGTCATGACGGTACAGACGGACCAAAGACCGGTGACATAGACCAACTGACGTACCAAGGACCACAGACGGACCAAAGACGATCATCAGAGGACAAAGACCAATAGGACCACGGTGGTACACGTCTCACCGTGATAGCAATATTGAGCGCGTAGTAGAAGTTGATCAATCGACGAAACTGTTCAAACAAGTTGACGGGAACGAAACTCCACAGTTTGTACTGAAATCAGCGCACAGAGCTAGTTGAGAAGGGAGCCCACGTCAAGACGGCCACGGGCAAGTGTTTCGTGTCATAAGTTGCGGTGCCCGTCTCACGCAGCTGCAGAAGTGGTGAGCTGGCAAACGCTCAGAACGTACAAACTATGCATGCATTGCACATTGCTTATGCATATTGCACACCCCTACAGAAAAAGATGACACAGGGAAAAACAGTTCCGTCTTATATGTTATAAGGGAACCCAGTTCGGCGTGCGCCTTAGCACTTAGTACGTACATTAAACATGGAACAAATAAAAATTACTTTTGCTGGTTTGCGAAACATTGAACTAATTCTTGAAGTAGGATGCGTGAAAATCTGATGTGCTCCAAGCAGCGCCCTACCCTTGACACATACCTAAGATACGCAACTGCTTCAAAGGCGGTATTGACTTTAGGCATTAGCAAAGCCTAAATAGAACCCTACTAAGATAGATAGCATATATCATATCTTAGCAGATAGTAGGTATCATGTCTTACAACATCACAGCATATCAGTTGACAAAAGAACGGAACTCTGTGTCGGAAACTGGCCACTTGATCCTTTGTTTAGGAGTAAGCACTAAGCAGCCTCACACAAACCAAGAACCAAGGTCACCGAGCAGACCTTTTTGGCCGGTCCTGCGAGGCCAGTGTCAGTCAGTGTCGGCGCGGGCAATCTGCAGAGGAACTGAGCCGGGGTGATAGCTGGGTCCCGCCCGGCCCTTATCACTGTGTCAACCTCAGACAGCTTCCCGGGAGGCCGGGCCGTCTGATTCCCTGGATTCCCTGCGTTCCGTGATTCCGCGAACGCAGGGAATCCAGCATGCGGGCAGCTCCCGGCTCCGGTATTGCCTCCGTTCAATTTCGCCCGGACGTATGTCCATGTAATTTAGACCCAAAGAATAGTATGGGACTATGGGACGGGCATGTGTTCCTATAGAGACACCTTGTCCCCGAGCATATATATCTGACAGAAGAGGTACCTATCGTGATTTTTGGCATGATAGACAGAATATTACAAAAGGTTACGGCTCCAGTTCAGTGACAAAGGTTACGGCAAAGTATTTGCAACAACAAATAATCATACGGCACCAATAACAAATTGAACACATTTGCTGATACTCGGTCAGTGTGTCGGTGAAACACAGGAAAGTCTGGCACATCTTCCACGTTTGACCCACGATGACCTCCGGACACACACACTGTGACGACTGGACACACTCAGTGTGACCTCGGGACACACCCACGACGTGCCGTGACGTCACTGCCCACCAATGGCTCTCAAGTGGCGCCAATGAATTCATCGGCACTCGTCCACAGTTTGATAGGGCCAATAGAACCGGGCGGCCGGCTGGTTACAAACGGTCTTTGCTGTCAGCCATGGACACCGCTTGGACGATACAGAACTCGATAATCGATAGTTTGAAATCACCCCACATGCTGATTGTGGCTTTATCATCCGGTCAACCTTGGTGGTTTAGGCTTTAAAATTGAATGGAAAAAGACATTTTTTAGAACCGGTTGGTATAAAACTTGGCATGAAATTATGTCAGCGACAGTGTCTGGTTACGGATCTGCATTACATGGCTTGACCTCACTATCTATCTGGTATAAACACTTTTGAGTTTTGGTTAGTTTGAAGATCCCGTACGTGTTGTATTTATACCTCATTGCATTGTAAGTGAATCGAGGCATTTTTCGGATTAATTATTGTGACACAATATGCGAATTTTTCGGCCTTAGCATTTCTCCCAATACTCTGATGAAGACGATGAGAATTGAGTGGCTGTTGCCAAATGCCAACCACGTAAGTGAATTAACGGCCTCCATCAATGGTCACCGTTCACATGTGGCCATCGCGCCACCGTGAACTCAGATTGTGCGAGTCAATCACCGGCATTTCACGTGGCGCAGCGGAGGTGACCTGAGTGACCCCCCACCTGACCTTGGAAGTGCTGATACGGTTGTCAGGGAAGGCGGGCTTCGGCTTGGCCTCGGGGTCAGTGACCTCTCCGGGCAGGTCATGACCTCCGACCTTGACCTTCCGAGTGCCAATGATAACTGGCCGGTAGAACCGCTGAAAGAAAACAATTATTGCGGTTAGCAAAAACAGACGTAAACAAACAGCATGATCTCAATTTGGAGAAGTTATTTCGAACTTAACAAAACACAAGTGTGTGAAATGAAACATTTCTTTCAAATAATTGAACGTATCCGGCAATAAGAAGGTCGGAAATGTGTAACACTTATTCTTGAAATAGCTTTTCAGCGCCTTATCTCATGACCTCAGACCTTTCAATGTTTACATGGCATACAGTTTCAGTTCACGCAATACTCTCGCGTTCAAGTAGGCATTTCCAGATTCCGCACTACAGCGATTGACGTTATCGCTATCCTCAGAGGCGCTGATAATGAAAGGGTCGCCCTGACATCGCAAACAGTGGCTGGCGTTTTTTTACCATCCCAGCGACGTCAATTGAATCCGGTTGTTAAACTGATTGGATTGTCGGAACACGATCGCACGCAAAGGGGATATTTCGTTGTACAGAGCTATGAGCCTTCCTTCTCGTGCAGAATATCCTGCACATTTCGAGTTTAGTCCTATCCGCACTGTGTTGTGATACGAAAACTGATACGCATTGCATCATACATTGCTACATGAATAGGAACACTTCTATGAACTTTTATATACAATTGTCTATCATAAGGATGCATGTAGGTATAATGCATAATTGTGCACAATGAACAACGTTTCATACGTTGTATCTGGTCACCGCAATGAGCTGTTTTTCCACTGTATACCTTGTGTGATCTCCCCATCCACAAGGGAATGGATGCTGCAGCATCCATTCCCTTGTGGATGGTGTCGAAACATATAATCCCATGGGATTATATGTTTCGACATTCGTCCGTCTTCAGACCAAATGCGCAGCAGAGTGAGATATCATATCAGCAAAGCTACGCAGTAGCTTTGCTGTACATCTGAACTTTGGACATTGCTCATCTACACATAAATCTGAGCGTGATTCGTCCCATAGAGGTCTTATCTCTAGGTGTGATTTGTTCGACCGAAGTGACGCATAGCTCACACCATTTGAAGTGGATGCTCGAAAAGAGCATGAAGGGTTACCATGCCGCAGAAACAGTCGCCGCCAAACCCTAACTAAGATCTAGAGTCAAGTAGGGACTAGTCAGTATTTTGATCTGATAAAAGCGCAGAGTAGACTGTATCGATGAAGCTCATGTGGAGATAGGTGTTTGTTGTTGAAAATGTTACGGAAGATGAAAATAGATATTTTGTAAATAACTGTGTAAGACCCGATATTTTGTAAATAACTGTGTAAGACCTATTAAGAAGTGCCTTGATGACTTGTAGTGCCAAAAACAATAAACGATTCCCCTTGATCGAACGTATGTGCATTAAAGGGACCCTCCCACCTTCAAAAAAGTTAATGAATTGGCATGAAAGTGATGTCGCACGGTTCAGAAAGAGCAAAAACGAATTTCTACCAAATTTCATCGAAAAATATTCACCGGTTTTCAAGATATTAGACTTTTACTTTTGTTTACTTTTTGGGATCTCCGCTGTTCCTAGCGACTTTATTTGAAAGTGCGGCATTTGTTGCGCGCAAAGCAGCATATACCACCGCGTGCTACAAAACGTTTTAGTCAAACATTTAAAAATCGTTAGATATCTGCGCTGACGTCACACATTCAGAGGGGTATTCCTATACATTAGCCCCTCTGAATCAAAATGCTGCAATTTTGAAATAAATGTTGTGAGTGCCGAAACCGGTAATTGTGAGCCAGGGACCCCATTTTGGCTATCTCAACTCAAATCTAATGTTAAGGTGGGAGGGTCCCTTTAACGCCGAACAAACACCGGAAGAATCGATCACCGATTGTCTGTTTACGCAGTGTTTGAACACCCTTTGCCAATGGGAATTCGCTCGGCAGTTGGCGACGAGCCCGCACAGCCCCGTCAATTACAGAAGGGCACCTCCGGACATACCTGCACAGCTGACCAGGCCATGCTAACTTACCGCCCTTGTGCTCTAGGCTTTGTGATTTGGTATGACATGATGGCAACAACAACAACAACATGTTGTTTTTGTTGTTTTGTTTTATTTTCTGACGGTCCAGCGATATCACATATTAAACGGCTATGACGATTTAGGGACTTTGTTACCGCGTCTTTTCTCTTTAAGTTTCCAATGCTTGAGTTCATGAGCAGTTGTGGACAATTTCATAAAATAATGCATGTTGATTTGACCGTCAGTACCTATCAACAAAAAGTTAGCTATTCCCTCGTGTCAGATCATCGTTATAAAGAGTGGACGCTTACCTCTGATTCCATTTTCTCAGTAGCGTCGCGTGCACCACTACATGGCCGCCGCACTGGCAGAGGCGCACACACGAACACAGTCTGACGGGCACTGAGCCGACAGCATGGGGAGCAGACTCTGCACCGTGCACCCGGCGGCGCCTTATGTTTACTGGCGCCCACATTCAATGTCATCACCCAGACGGAGTGAACGCACCAGAGATCAAGAGCGCGAGAACTACAACGAGTAAGCCCGCACTCAGCACTGCAATACTAAAACGTGCAGGTCAAGGGTAAAGTTGTGGCAAGGAATGCTGGAAATGGTTGTAGTTTTTAGTTCAGTAATTTCTATCCTGCCTACCCAGGTAAATCGTTTAGAGAAGATTTTGGAGAGTCCGGTTCGAGTCTCATCGGGGCTCGCTATTTGCTCCTGACGAAAAGGAGGAAAAGTTACTGAAAATTAACCTGTATGAACTATGAAGCTCGTTAAATGAAGCGGCACGTCTACAAAACAACGAAGATTGCATTGCAGTATAACGTGATTTGTCACGCTCTCCCATGCACCCACCTTGCTGGAGCCCTGTCGCACGAAGCCGATGGCCTTGTCCCGGACTTTGTTGAGGCCGTTGGCCAGGTCCATATCGGGCAGTGCCCGGCTGGGCCGCGGGATGGCCTCCGACACTCCGTTCGTGGCACCGAACCGCGTCTCCTGCGTCACAGGCGGCGTCGTCTCCGGCGGGGCGTTGTGCGGCGGTCCCGTCGGCATCGGCGGCTGGGTCGGTCCGGGCAGGTACCCCCGGACCACCCCCGGAGCGGGGCCCGGAGCGGAGCCCGGAGCGGGGCCGGCAGCGAGCGCATTGCGGAGCTGCTGCAGCTCCTGCGGCTCGGTGGGCCAGGAGCCGAGCCGCTGCACACTCTGCAGCCTCACAGCCTCCTCGTCCGGCGAGTAGGCGGGGTTATCGTGGCTGAACACCGGAGCCATCTCACCGAGACTCACAGGCACCCGTCAGCGGCGTCCGTCACACCCGTCAGCGGCGTCCGTCACACCCGTCAGCGGCGTCCGACACAGCCGTCACGCAGTGACAGGTCAGCACATGGCCGCCGGGGGCCGGGGAGCGCGGCCGCGGCCGTCCCGCGCGCGGCCCTGGCACCACACTGGACGGCCGGCACGAGGTGCAGGCCGGTCGGAGCGGTGGGCGGGCTCTCAACCTGGCGCCGCGTCGAGCCGCCGCGCTTGTGACGTCACGGAAACCTGCCGTCGGGGCTGACAGACCACGGTGACCTGCCGTCGGGGCTGACACTCCGGTGACCTGCCGTCGGTGGCTGACAGACCCCAATGACCTGTAAGGGCAAACGAGGAAATTGTGAGTGGGATAGACGAGATGGGTTGCCGGTCTGCGAGTCTCGTGTGCTAGGCTTGCGAATCTCACCAACTTTAATTCTTTTGTCCTGCATCTTTTTATCTGCTTTGTGCACAACAGCGGTATGTGATAAACAGGTCAGCAATAGGAACTCTCGCCTGTGTGCCTGCGCCTGTTTTTTCCAGCGTCTAATGTGTAGGGGGGGGGGGGGTCGGTTGGACCCCCTGCCGTTCGGCCCCTGATCGAGCTTGAGCTTTGCAGAAAAAAAACGAGCATGCTGCCGGTAACAAGAGGAAGCCGATGATACCCAAGTTTAAGGTCCTAGGTCATCGGTTGACCTTCCAGGTCAGGCCAATGACCCAGAAGTCGGAAAATGGGGATCTGCTAGAACTTCGTAAAGTGAAGCTGTTATGGTTTTTTCGGGGTGCTGATCACTAATTTTTCATGTTAATCTTGATCGCAGATGATCTATTCATGCATTAAGGCCAGGTCGGGTCAGGTCAGGTCAGGTCAATTCGTAGGTGTCCTGCCGGCTATCCAATATCCAAAGTAAGTGTCAACCAAAAGTAACGGCGTCGTAACATGTTAAGAAGGCACTAAAACTACTTCTTAAGTGTTCAAATGAATGCTCAATTCAAAATCAGCTGCAAAAACTACCCAACAAGCATGTCAAACTCGAAAAAGTGAACCAAGGTCATCAAACGTCAATGACATTGACCTGACCTTCACATGACCTTACCACCCACCATAATGCATGGGACTATAGCATCATTTCACATGTTTGAGCGTTTACAATCACAAAAGGACTGGAAACGTGAGGTGACATACGCAGAATCGCGATTCCGGCCAAGCATGGTCTCGAGAAATAGTTCACAGGTCAAAGGTTATTTGGGGCAGGGTCATGAAATTGTCATTGTAGATGTAAAATTGATCAGCTCGAGCGTTTTGAAGTTTCAAAAAAAAAAAACGAGGGGGTTCATCTGACCCCCACCCCCTAAAAGTGCGAGGGCTAAGCCACAAATTTGTCAGCACGAAACGGAAAGATATAAACTGGATGGGAATGAAAGACTCCCGTTCGTAATGCTTTTAATTAACCATCGCCGGACCTATTGGTTTTCTACATACGCGCCGGCCGAGCGGGGGGGGGGGCGGGTACGACCCCCCCTCGCCGTTTCGCCCCTGGTGGAGCTAGCGCGGCACGGAAAAAACGAGCGTGTGCGCCGTTACGAGACGCAGATATTGGTACCCGATTTTAAGGTTCTAGGTCAACCGGTGACTTCTGAGGTCAGGTTAAGTGCCCTAAGGTACGGTTCAGTTTTTGGTGAATAACTTCGCAAAAAACGTCCGCAGAGCCGCGATTTTGCAGCATCGTGTTCGCCTCGATCAGGCGCGTCGAATGATATGCTTTTTGTCTGGGTCAGATCAACTTAGGGTGTTGACCTCAGGTCAAGGTCAGGTCAGCACCCCCAGGTCACGAAGTTGGTCGAAAGAGGTCATGTCGCATATCATTCGATTCGGCAGGTCTTCCTGAGTCCATTGGTGGCTTTCCCGACTCGCTAGTCGCTAGCTCAATTCGATCGGGAGTTATTGACGAAAAACTAATATGACCTTGATGTCACGCAAGGTCAACATTGCAAAAGTGACGCATCTAACCTTGCAAGGAGTGCATCAAATCACGATTCTGTGTGCTTGAGATAGTTGGAGATCGTTCCCGGCGCCAGAATAGCAGTTTTAATTTTTCACCATTGACTTATAATGGTGAGGTCACGAAAATGACCTGACCTCATATGACCTTTAGGAAAAATCCGAGCTATACAAGTTGTGAGACTTATAATGGATACTAGATCCTGCAAGTTTCATTTCCCTGTGACATCTCCTCTGGCAGTGAGGGCGTTGCGAAGTTGCGACATCTGAAGACCGTGCAGAGGTTCACTTATGACGTCATAGGTCAGTGACCTGACCTGACCCAAAAATGCAGTTGTGTCAAAAGATCCGGCTTGAATCAAAGGTCAGGTATGTCAAGTTTCAGCTCTCTATCGCTAGCGTGTTCGGAGCTATCGCGAAAAAAACCAATGGGGGGCGGCACCTGCCCCCCCCCCCCCTCGGCCGGCGAGGGTTAAGGTACTGTTTTTAATGGTCGGTAACAGCTTTTCAAGACTCGGATATACGGCTGTCTAGTGTCTATAAATGCGCTCCGGTATAGAATTACAAACGATAAAAAGGAACGGCGTGTTCACAGGCGCAGCGCCCAGTCCTGCTTGTCACTGTCGGGTCATTAAAGGTCACCCAGTGTGATTCATGTGCCTCCGTGCAGTTTAAGGTCAGCTGCTGCCCTTTAGTTGCATAGTTAAACTTTTTGAACAGCACAGATCTGCAGAAGCATAGGCATGCTTCTTTGACCTCTATCTGTTTTCTAAGTGCACTTGCTTACTGCTATTCATCTAACTAAACTAACTAAACTGATGTCAAGCATTTATTTCGGACTTGTAAGGCCATAGGAAACGTTTATAAACCAAACGTTTATTAGAACTTGAAGCATGGGGCGAGCGAATTCCATACCTGTTATACTTGAGCTATCTCTAGCCATACGTTCGGCACTTGTATACTCGTTATACAAGTGTCGAACGCTTACCCGCGCCCTGATGGGGGGCCATTTTGGCCCCCCCCCCCCTGTGGTTTTTCTTGAATAGCGAAAAACGGCGGCGCACAGCGCCGCCAAAGTTTGAGTACCTTACCGGGCATCAATTTGACACCTTCACACAAAATTTCAAGTCACAGGTCACCTCAGGTCAGGAGTTATTGAGGTCAAACTGAGGTCATGTTCGAGTAAAAATGAGCAAAAAACACGACATCTTGAAACGCTCACCAATTCTACAGTTAACAAGCAATTTTAAAGTTCTTTATGTGGTTGTGTAGAGAAAAGACAGTGCTACAAAACTGCTATCTCGGATTTTCGAAATTTTGGGATTGTGACCCCCAAAAATCAAAAAAGTTGATTTTTTTAGAAAAACTCAAAAAAAAACTTCCAAAAAAAATTCAAATTTCGAAAAAAACCGGAATATATGTGATAGTCCCTGCGCTCTTCGATATACATACCAAATTTTAGATCGATACCTCTTTTTTGGCCAAGTTATAGCGAAAAAACTGTTAAAAATTGATGACGTCAAATTTTTGAACTCAATTTTTAGCAATTCTAGACCTCGTAGCGCAAAACGGAGACCACCATTGAACTCCCCGTGACGAGTTGCATCGAATTGATACCCATTTTATGCAAAATATCAACTTTGAAATTTGACCTTATTTGACCTGACCTTGACCTGACCTTGACCTGGCCTTGACCTGGCCTTGACCTGACCTTGACCTGACCTTGACCTGACCTTGACCAAAACGTGACCTAAGCTGGCCCTAAAGTCTGTCTGACCCACATAATCGCATTTGTCATGTAAAATGGATCATAAAACATGTATCACACGACACTTTCATATTGTGACCCCCCCCCCCCCCCCCAGTGACCTGACCTCTGTGACCTGACCTGGTATCAGTGACCTCAAATAGCAAAATATGTGTTTGAAGAACATTTCCCCATCGATGATTTTCAATGAAATGCATTTTACACGATTTTACAACGCATTTCTTGAAATGCCTGTAAAGGGTGAAAATTCGACCTTTGACCTGACCTGTGACGTCATCGGTTTGACCGAGGTCAATGAAATTGGGTCACAAGGTAGTTCCCCGTTGGGGCTATCCAACACCGTTTACCGCTTGTCGCTATGTTGCGTGGTTCTCGAGATCTGAGGGGGGCCAAAATGGCACCCCCCCCCCCCATCAGACCGCATTGCTCGGCAGACCCCATCTGGGCGCGGGTGCTTGTAAGCATTTAAAAAGAATGTGGAAGTTTAGAGAAATTACAATTAACCACGGCAACAAAACAAGCGTTGCAACAATCGATAATCGCAAACATTATACCTATCAGAAGTCAGAGTTCGATTTTCGTGCGATTAAGTGCACTTGTGCATTGCATGACCTGTGCACCATGCATTGTGTATGAGGCCTTCAATGACCTGTGCACTGACCATAAGCTGTGTTTAACTTTAAAGCTCTCACTACTGGCCTGTGTGGCATGCATGATCTTTATTAGATGTGTATGTGCGCGAAGCATATCCGACTGACCTGAGCAATGAGCATGACCCTACCCCCACTGACCTGTGTGTGACCCGGCTGCCTGGTCTGGCCGCGGTCCTTGGCGGTCCTGCTGGCTCGACGGTCGCTCCTGCTGGCGTGGCCGCTGCTCCGGTCGACTGGGACTGTCAGTCGCGGCCTCCCGCGGCGCCTATCGCACCGCACGCCGTGACGTCATATCAATGAGGGTGACACGGACAGGTGACGGCGTCGCCAATCTGACCGAGCCGCCGCCAATCTGACCCGCCACCGCTCCACCAATCTGACCCGCCAAAAACCTCCAATCTAACCCGCCAAAAATCACCTATCTGACCGGCCACTTATAACCACCACCGCTCTGCCAATCTGACCAGCCATAAACCACCGTCGCTATTATAGTCTCATTGTTCAGCGTCCCTGTTGGAAATATCTTTCAACAAAGCTGTCCGTGTGTATTTACCTACGGATTTCGCTGTTTTAGCAAAAAGTGCCTTATGCATTGTAATTACATGGCAATAACAAATGCATAATGGATATACAACATAGTCCCACATTAACCCTCGCCCGCACATGGGGGGGGGGTGGTTGCCACCCCCCCCCCCCAGGTAGTCTTTCTGCTCTGCACTCAACATTTTTAGAGCTAGAAGGCTGATTTTTCGTATAGCTGCTCCTCTATCCTTTCTTGATGTCCCCTGAAAATTTCAAGTTTCTGTGGTTTTTGGTTTCGGAGATATGACCTTGTTTCTCAGGTCATGTCATGACCCAAATGGCCAATTCTCAACATCTTGCGTTGGCTATGGGTCTTGTGAGCTTTTGACACCTTGATTTCGGCCTTTTTTACTAGTCTTACCTCCCACCTATCATGGAACATGCTGTTCGACGATGTACAGATGTCAAGGTCAAGGTCAAGGTCAACCTAGGTCATCCAAGATAATTGCGTTTTAGGCAAGCGGAATTTACTTTTTGTGAATTTTTTTGACTGCATTTTTGGTAAAAGCTTATCAGATGATGATTTCATGTAATATGGACACATAAACAATCGGTGCACACATCAGTATACACACAGACACACACAGACATACAAACACATATAATTGACCTTGACCTTACTTGACCTGAAATGACCTCAGCAGCAAAAACCTGGTCGGGTAGTGTGACAAAGAGGTTCTAGCTGGCTTGGCACCAGAAAACGGCATCGTCATCGGTATATGATAAGCAGCGCACTTGATATCCAACGGTGACCCAAAACAGCAATATTTTTTAGTTTGACCTGACCTGGAAGGTCAATGACTGACCTGAGAAGATAAAACTGGGTATCATTGGATTCGTCTCTTCCCAAATAATCTTTTTTGTCTTTACCGCTAAGCTCTATCTCCAACAGGAACGAAATGGCGCGGGGGGGGGTGGCAACCACCCCCCCCCCCCCATGTGCGTTCTAGGATGGGAAAATGGCATGTGCGGGCGAGGGTTAATCTCTGCCGCTTGGCGCCGAGGACCCGAGGCCAAGCCAGCGCTCGATTTCCGTACTTTTTGACGGAGCGCTGATAATAACGGGGCGGGGCAGGCACCGGGCCGCCAGGTGTCGCGCGCACTACAGTGACGCATTGTTTGCCGCTGCCGATAGCGTCGAGCATGGCGAACATAGAGCCAACACAGTCGACGGCAGCTCAAATTCGGCCCGGCGCGGCCAACCCATTCGATGTTTTCATCAGGAGGTACCTACATCGACTTATCGCAAACTAAAACAGAGGCTGGTGTAGGTACGGATCTCTATAGATATTATGTAGAAAATGTGTAAGAAATGCGGCTCTCGTGTTCCAAATACAAACATGTGAACTTGTTGAATATGTATTTATGCCTTGTAATGCGGGAGAATGAAGCGAATAACGCGAATGAAACTGTATAGACGTGCACAAGACGGCCGACTAAAAATGTGAAATACGATACTCAGTCGTATCACATCTGCGACATAAATAACGTCGATGCATCTACCTTGAAATAGAGCAACATAAACGGTTCCAACAGCTGGCCAGATTTCGCCTGTAAGCTCAAGACATCGTGTGTGCATAGCACGAAGCAAACTCAGCATATGAATCGTGAAGACTGGCTATCAGAATCTACAATTTGAGCTTACGTAAATAAATTAGCAAAGTCCGAAATTTTAGGCTTTCCTCAACTGCCATAAAGGGATATCCTGTACCTAATATACTTAGCAATATCTTGATTTTGTTGCTAAGATGGTTATACCAGTGACTCAATACACCACACTGTTGTATATGCAGCGTAGAATTGGAGCTCATACCTGTAGTGACAGGATAGCAATGGCACCTGCAAAGTCACGCTCTATCACGTCTCAGCGGTATAACCTGGACAGAAATGCACTCATTTTCGAGAGCAAAGTCAAGCAAGTGCATCAGTGTGGCGCGCGCGCTGAGCGAAGGCGTTCAGTTGATGCCGGAGAGCTCTTTCCGGATGACCTCTATTGGCTTCATCAGCATGATGGGCTTGTGGTCGTCCTTGACCTAAGGAGAGTCCGCACGGCGTGAGAAAACATCGGCGGGGAAGTGAGAGAGACGTGCTTCATGGCCATCATCTCTGAGAGTGAGTTGTAGATAAAATTGTTTAGTCTAAAACGTTGTCGTGCTCAAGATTCCTTTACTACTCGTCGTGCTATCAATCTAAGACAGCTATTCCAATACCTACTTTTGATTGATTACCTACCTGATACAGCATTTCTCCTTCGAAGTAGACGAAGCCATATTTCCTGGCCTTGCCGAGGAGGCCGACCACCCGATTGTTGATAACCGAATAACACTGGAAACAGAAATAACATGTTACTCATGGGCAGCTTCTCATGGTGCATTGTGTGTCGCGGCCTTTCGGTTTGTCCAAGATTCTTTCAGATAGATTTGCCCAGTTTGTCAGATCTTTCGACCCTCTAGCTCGACATTCTTGCAACAACTTTTTGCATATACTGTGATCCACCCGGTACCCGGAGTCCGGACCAAAAGTTGTGATTGTCGGGAGTTCGGGACTCTGGATTCCCTAAACACTCCACGGCTTGCGCATTGGCGTGAAGTTTTTTTAGTAAAATAATACTTCATATGGAAGGAATCTTTGATGAATATTGGCAGCAAAAAACAGTTAGCATAATTGGCGCAGTACTGACAGTCTAGACGCATACGTTGAAAATGCTTGGAGCCCGTGGAACAAATTACCATTGCGTGGAACGAAAATAATTTCATTTGTAATCATCTAGGTATGCCAAGACCCTAGAACGTAATCTATGCCATTTGGAAAAATTCGAAGCTAACCATGAAATATTGCAACAATTGTCAATTACAAGCAAATCTTCGAAGTTCTTTCAGCAGTTGAACATTTCAATTTCATGATTTCGATAACATGAACATCACAATAATGACTGGGCAATCAGCATGCACTTTGCCTGATTCAAACTGCCACTGTACTGAATTTAAATTTTCTAGCTTATTATTGCATCGGATAGGATGAATACTTATTTTCGCTCTTTCACAGGATATTCAAACTGCTTGATACTAAGCTGTTCAAATTGCAACTTCTTTCAATTGATACAATTTTAAAAGTCATTTAAATCTTTCTTTGTGTTTATTTTCAGTGGTCAGTTCTGCAGTGATCTATTATATTTTATAACAATACTTTTATCTTGTTTCAGGCATAACATTAAGGCAAAAATGGCAGCAAACAGTCTCGAAGAGCATAGGAAGTTATTGGACTTCTTCAGAATTGTTGGAAAACTTAAGGTACCTATGCTACAAAGAAAACCCCATTTTGCAGAGAATATAGATAAATGCCATTATTGTGAGGTGTAGAAGTGACTAGTGACTTAGACCAATGGTCAACTCACAAGCATTCTGCTATTTTTTGTTTTTGTATTATTTTTGTTAGGTACTGTCTCATTTTTAGCATTTTGAATCAGTATTCAGTAGTAGGTACCCATTGCATTTAAACACAATAACATTCCTTTCAGCCTTCAGGGTCATTCTTGTTCCATGTTCCTTCTAGCTTGGTGCTTGGCATATGAATTTCTTACGACTGCTTGTTTTCCTTATGCAGAAACACTATTTTTGTGTGTACTGGGTGTGCCCCAAAATGGTCCCCTCCTCCTCCCCTGCTCCCTGCAGCATCTGAAGCGGACCGGCTGGGTGCGCTGTGACGTCACCGAACCAGAGACAGTTGCTGGCCACATGTACCGCATGTCCATCATGGCCATGGTGGCCGCCGGGCGTGCGCACGTGGACCAGACGCGCGCCGTCAAAATGGCGCTCGTGCACGACCTGGCCGAGGCGCTGGCGGGAGACATCACCCCGCACTGCGGCGTCTCGGACGGAGACAAGCACGCGCGCGAGCTGGCCGCCCTGGAGACGATGGTGCAGCCGCTGGACGACAGGGTCGCCTCCGAGATCATGGCGCTGTTCGTGGAGTACGAGTCGAACCAGACCGCCGAGGCGCGCTTCGTGCACGACCTCGATAAGTTGGATATGATCCTCCAGGCGGATGAGTACGAGGCGGCGCAGGGCCGCGACCTGCAGCAGTTCTTTGACTCGACCCGGGAGGTTTTCCGCACGGAGGAGGGCCAGGGGATGGCGGCGGTGCTGCGCCGGCAGCGGGACGAGCGGCGCCGGACCGGCGACGGTGGCGCCACCGCCGAGACGCCGGCCGCTCCGGGAACTAACGCCGACTGACACTGACCGGTTAGTGGCGCCACCGGCGCGGCGGCGACCGAATGCCCCGCTCAGTTTTTCTTTTTACACATGTAAAGGCGAGAACTTGGGTAACGTAGAATAAACTTAACAGTTTCTATTGACTGCTCACTGAGAAGACGTTTTGGGATTCGTTTACTCTAAGTTCTAACTTACAGTGTTTGAGTGTTGTGTGTTTTGCTGCAATAATATACCGTGTTGACGTATGCTCAAAATTTACGCGTTTATTATCTCGCATGCCTATTTTACTTACTTTTATTATCAAAATACTTTATTTTTAATGGATGAGACCTTTCATGATCAGTTGCATTTTACGTACATAGGATAATTCATCCAGTTGCACGTTCATTTTATCAACCCTTTCCGTACTTTACCTCCTTTACCACACATTATCTTCCCATTCCGCATTCATTGTCGCCTTTGAACCGTGAGTAGTGAGTACAGACCTGGAAGAGGATGCCGAACGGAATGGCCACGGTGCCGTCGTCGTACTTGAAACCCTCCTCGTAGATCATATTGATGAGCTCGATCAGCTCGGCGTGCGCGTTCTTCACACCAAACAGACCCTTCCTGGCGGCGAGAAGATGGGGCAGGGTTGTGAAAAGTGGTAATGGAAGCGAAAGAGGATGGTGGTATTTTTTAGGTGATCGGCCTTTATCGCTATTCGTTAACATTCGAGCATTACGATTGATATCATAAAATGAATATTGTTGGAACAAACAGGACGAATGGTTTCCATTCACCCAATTTACCACCGGTAAATTGTGAAGTTGATATGCATCAAAGCTGGACAGATGAACCAGCATTTAAAACGTCAGCCACCCGTCGCTTGCAATTGGAATGGTCCTTACTTTTCGTTGTGGACGACGGGCGGCAGGGGCTGCACGTCCACCGGGTTCTTCTTGGCCACCTCCTTCAGGAGAGTGACCTCCTTCTCAAACTGCTGCATGGAGACCGGCATGGTGACCTGCGGCAGGAGTGCGATGTCAGGTCAAGGGGCTGGAGGTGATGGTGTCTTTTACATATGGTAGCGTTACAGTTACATTGCCCGTACTAGTGTCACAGCTTCACGATTCCACGCTGATGTGCGGATGATAATGCGTATAGTCTGTGAAATTTGAGGCGTTCAAGGGTGAGTTTGAGAGTTGAATGATCATAAAATGCCCTTGGGTGGTCGCCGCTTTGCGTTCGCTCTCGGGATGTGCGCACAGGAAGTCATCCAGTAATGTCTATATCGATTTCACCGCAATATCAAGTAGTCGAACAAGTTGTTACGAAGCCGACGCTCAGATGTTAGTGATACCGTTATCTGAAAACGCACGCGGTGCGCAACTTTATTTATATTTGAACTTCTTGACGTTGAAATTAAGTGAGCTGTACGATATGCTCGTGTGGGTCGACCGGCTAAATTCTGCTTGCTGTTCGGATGCCTATGAATGTCAAAAGTGGCTGGTTTGGCGAAAACGTGAGTTTGGCAGCAGAATTTCATTATTGTGGCATACCGTGGCATTCACAGGTTTTAGCGGCGTGCTGCTAATAAATGAATGAAATCAATGGTATCGATAAATTTGGCATGTACAAAACGCCTGTTTAGCTGTGTCGATAATGTTATGACAGTTATGATCTATATCTAGATTGAAAACATCTCACACAGGTCTGTGTGATGCGGCCGCGGGCTGGCGGCGTCGGTCTATCGATGGGCGGCTTCCAAATAGATTTGGCACGTGTCCTGGATCGAGCTGGAATCACCGGAACGCGGCTGCTTGTTGCTAGAACAGGTGTACGTCATCGTCCAGAACAGTGCAAGGCCACGCGTAGGTGTTTCGGGCAACCTTTTCGGCTAAAGATCTGGTCGTGTAGCGGATACCGCACCTCAAGGTTATTGAGGACAGCAGTGACAGAAATTGTCCACATCTAATCAGGTCTTGCGAGAAATCTACATGGATTGTTCTGAATTCTTACCGACCAAATACCGACTAGAATTTTGGCAAGCTTTTGTGCCATTCGCACCTGCGTAGTCGCCCAGCCTATGCCGATAATAGCTGTCACGAAATGGCTCAAATTTTACCGCTACGAATTGGGAACATTGGTTGCATGGTAATGCCAGATACGAGTTATTTTCGCTCCTAGAAACTGGTCACCGATACACGACGTCCTATGCCTATCGCTAAAGTTAGCACTTGACACCGAAATCGGTTATTCTTAACTTGGCATGCCAGTACCATTTGAGATGCACTTGAGGGTCGAAAAAAAAAACGAAAACGAGAGCGTGTTCCGTTTTGCTAGGCTTTGCACGCCGATTATTGTACCAATTTAACATTGAAGTGAACATAATTAGATATTTCCTTACCCTGGCTCGTTTTGTGATATAGCGAAACATTTAGGTATGCAAGCCATGCATTTCAACTTCAGTAAAAATATATCGCGAAGAACATGCGTTCTATATTTTGTGCAGATTTTCTTATGAACCCTAAACACTGCGCTTCAAATAAATTTTCTTGCCGACAGTTATTCGCCTCCTGTCCTCAAACGTCCTGCCCTTGAGCTGTTTCGGAGTCCCCGCGGCTCGCCTCTCCCGGTCCTCCTTTCTCACCTGTGTGTGGTTCCCTGGTGAGATCTGTTCTCGGGGCTACCTGTCCTCTCACGACGGCGCTCACAGTTCCTCTCACAGGTTCTCACCGCCTCGGACGTCTCCAGTGGAGTTGTGATTCAGCCTCCCACCTGCCCCGGGTCGGTATTTTTAGACGGGGCCGGCCGGGTGGGGGAAGGGGGGAGGAGTCAGCGCCGACTGTCTTACGGCAGGGCACGGGGAGGGGAGGGGGTCCGACGATACGGGCTGTTGGTGTCTGTGGTCAGGTGGGCATCCAGAGTGTCGTTTTTCTGTGCCAGGGGTCCCGAAACAAAATTGTCAGCCTCATCTCCTTTGCCGCTTATTGTCGTGCTAAGTGCCATCTGATAGGAAGGCACTGATCTAGTTTGGGTCCATGCATTTCCCCGAGTGTCGAATGCCAAAGGACCGTTTGAAAAGCCACCAACCATCCTTCGGAGCGAGTTGAACGGGTCCACATGCGGCTCGTCATGAATATTATCAGTTTTACGCACTCTCGCCAGTGTTCTCCCTCAATCAATGGGTTTAGGCTGTGACTCGGCCTAGCCCCGATTAACATGAATGCCACATTCATTTGTCGTTAATACGTGCGCAAATGGATCCACGAAACGGTCATTGACAGATTCAGGTGTTTTTGGAAGTGAAATATCAGAAACAGTGTCGGTCAGAATACGTGCCGTTGCTTATGTTCATTCGTAACGTGGATGGCTTCTGGCCGCATTTCCATTTGCAATCACGCGAGCGCTATAGATTCAGGTATGTAAAAGTTCGTCTGGAAGCTCATTTGGACATCAACACAACAATTTTCGCCAGCATGACATGAATCAGTCGGGAGCATATGGGACAGGGCTGGCGTGTATGCTTCTTTTTCAACAAGGCCCGCGACCACTAACCACTATAACGTCACAGATAATGAATCACACGTGCGGTGTCACTAACAACGTCACAGTGGCTGACCCCCGGAGGCGTGCACAGCCGTGACTGGTACTCGCACCCCTCCCCGTGGTGTGGCCGCCGCTCTGGGCCGGCCTCGGGGTGACATCAGGCAGTGGTCGGACATCAGATGACCGCCACGGTCGCCGGTCAGTTGTCGGGCCGGCCACTGGTCAATGTCACGCTGGTGTCAGTGGTCAGCGGCGCGGGACAGCCTCCGACCCGCTGCCGCTCCTCGCCGCTCTCCGCTCAGCTCTGCTCAGTCAGCGGCGGGCGGTGTGACTCTGCTCCGCTGAGTTTGACTCCGCTGACTATTCAACGTGACTCCACACAGAGCAACTCTGCTCCCACTTGTCAGGACTCAGTTCTCTGCTTATCAGGATTCCAGCCTCCGCTGATTTCGACTCCGCTGTGTTCACCAATCCGTTCATATCGACCCCTTGCTCCATTTATCTCGATCTCGTCATCTATATCAACGTCGACTCTGCTGTCCATCCAACACGACCCCACCCATCTCCTCTCATTTCAACCCCCATTCCCGCTAATCTCAGCCCGTCTTTCTGCCGCGGCTCTCGATCGGACCGGGCCGAGCCGGGCCGCGGCGCCCTGCTCTCGTCTCGCGGCGGCGACAATGTTTGTGGGAAGTGGCTATCTGGTGGCGCCGTCCGGTTCCTGGAGAGCGCGCCGGCCGCTCGCCTCTGGTGACACTCAGTGGGTGACCGACTGCGCTCGGTGCCGGTCACGTCTGGTCGACCCGTGCGACAGGCCGCACATGCTGCCCGAGCGGTCGCCGGACGGTCGACGGACTCGACGGGAGATAGCGGGAGGTGGACGGTGGACATTGGTCGGAGGACAGCGAGAACGGATAGCGGAGGGCGGAGGAAACAACGACGGAGACGAGCCGAAAACAGCGGCGGAGACGAGCCGACAACAGCGGCGGAGACGAGCCGACAACAGCGGCGGAGACGAGCCGACAACAGCGGCGGAGACGAGCCGAAAACAGTCGGACGACGGGCAGTGGTCAGGACTTACAGACGCAGAAAGTATCTCATATAGAAAGTAATCAAGACCACCCGCAATGGAGTAACATCGACATCATTGTGCTTTGCTGAATGTTCGTTTGGTGACTCGGGTGACTCGGGTGACTGCAATCAACGAGATTGAGGCATCGCACGTCCGGGATTGACAACTGGTCTACAAGTTAGTGCAATCATGGCCTGAAGACGAGACATCAGCAAGGGACCACTGCAATTGAACTGGAAGCTGTGTCGGTTCTGATTTTCCCGACAAACGGCCGGTCGGCTGAACTGTGGTCACCCTTATTGCAATGACTTTGCACAGGACAGAGCAGTGATCGTGGCAGAGTGTAGCGATCAGCGCAGTCAGCGGATATCCTGTGACGCAGAGCACATCCTGCGGACGGCAGGAGAGTGAGGCGCCTTGGTTGCGGAGCAGCGCACGCGTTCACGAAATCTGCGTGAGGACTGAGCGCCCATCCTGCAGCAATGCTTTGGTCACCGCAGTCGTCGCCGCTGCTGATTCTACCGCTGCTGTTAGCACTTCCTTCGAACGATGCCACCAACAATAACGGTAAGTTCATTCTCATCGGCAACATCCATTTATTTGATATAGACTCGCCATGTCATTCCGGTTCATCCGCGGGCCCGTCCCCCCTCCGTCCTGTGTGGCCGCCAGTGTTGAGTTGATCACTGGCCAGGCTAGCACTGACCAGTGACCACGGCTGCCGCTGCGCCCGGAGCGGACCGGCGAGCGCCGTGTATCGGTGTTAAATAAGCAGCGGCGGGCTCGTTACACTGACCCCCGGGTGCCCCCGCCCCTCCCTCCCCCGCTGCCTGTTCCGGCGGGCGGACAGGACTGCAGAGGTGTCCGGCATGAGTGCAGGGGTGTACGGCTTGTTGGCGGGTGACAGGTCCAGGGGCGGGGCGGGGGCGGGAGTAATTGGAGTAAATATCTGCACCGACACAGCGTGAGGAACCACGATGGAATGCGGTAGCGATGCGGCCCGTACCAGCCTGCGGGACTGGAGCTGCACCGATCCTAATAACTGACGGATGGATTTGGAAACCCGAACCGCCAGACAGAACTACCGTGACGCAAACGGCATGCCGAATACCAGTCGTATAAATATCTTCGATCGTTCGTTACTTTCCAGCAGGGACTGCAAGCTACTCCAAAGCTCGCTCACAAGGTTCGATCCATGTCCACATGTAGGTCAGTCCTTGCAGACAGAAGACTAACTGCGTAACACACGTTGCTGTACACTTGCAGCAATCGCTCTTTCCTGCACCGAAAGATTGTTCTGTTTCCGGTGGGCCGATCTCCATCCTCGGCCGCTCGCTATCCGGTGTCGAAACCTCCTCCCATTCTCCGCCTCCCCTCTTTCTCCCTCTCCCCCAGCCGTGATACGTGCACTGAGCGCGGCTTTGAGTGTTTGTCCCCCCGAGTGTAAACACGGGATGTGATTGTGCTCGTTAGGCGACTGAGGACGGAAGCGAAACGGCTGATGTTTCGCCCGCCGTCAGGATGGCATCAGCCGCGCCAACTGGCATCTGACGCCGCCTTTGATCCGTGCGAGGATTACTTTTGGGGCTCCGAGAAGGTACTAATGAACACTTGATATAGGTGTAGTTTATTTTCATCTTTTACGTTTCACGAACTCTGTCATCTATTCATTGAAATATCATATTTACAGGGTGTCCCATAAGTTCGTTCTCACATTATATTTGCATGTGAAACAGAGTACATTGCGTTTTGATATATTTATGTCCCCTCAATGTGCTCCCCATTTAATAGGCAAACACATAAATACATGCTGCGGCATGCCAACCGGCATGTTTGGCTGTATAACAGGCTTAAAGTTAACCCAGACTGACTTGACATGCGCCGTGAGCTCCTCGAGGCTGGAACAGCGCTACGCTTCGACGAGCCTAAATTTAAGCATAACCAACAAATTTTTATGAAATTTTGATCCGATGAGGTGCCTGGCATGTGATCTTGCCACAAACGCCTGTCACAGTCTCCTTGCACCGTTTTTAAGCTTTGCTTGACCTGCGCACTGATGCACTGTCTTGCCTGAAGATGGGCCTCCGACCTCCCGGATGCCATTTTCTCCTCTATAAATGTGTTCATACTCGCGGTTCGAGTTCAGCTTGAGGGCTGAAACTCCTCCTAGATGTTCTTGGAAAAGCATTCTACTTCCCAAAGCTGTTTCTGGAACACCAATCGCAACCTGGTCAGCGTCTGGACGCCCTTTAACCCCCCAATACGGTGACCCTGGCCTTTTGCATAGGAGCATAACGGGACGAAACGGAGGCCTCCTCCTTCGCCCTTATGGGGTTGTTTTCGGGTTTGGACGGGTGTTTCATCTCGAACGTGGACTAGTTGGTCCAGATGACCTGGTTAATATCCTCAGCCCTCTAGTTTTTTTAGCCTCAGGCATAACGAAACTCATCTTTGGGCATCTTAAGACGTTTTTGACTGCTTTGAGCCCTCCGGTATGCAAAGCTTAAGTCACCTTGAGTTATGTACCCCGAAAGAACACTCTTAGACAGCTGGTAATCCATCCTGAAAAGTCTGCTTACCAACTTTCTAACCCTTTGACCTTTTTGATGGCCACTTTGGCGCCACACAGTTTTGGCCACTTGGCTCACTCCTGAGAGCTGACTGGAAAGAGGATAAACTTGCAGTGATTGACTCCCGACAAATCATCGGCGTCACTTGCTGACTGTGCGTCCAGTTAGCGATGGGCATTGCTTACAGACTGGTAGGTCTCAATCACCCTCAATCGTCGCGAATGGTCACGTGCTGACTAAATACCGAGACGTACCCGTATCGGAGACCTCTATGCTGCGGCGTTAGCCGTCTCTGTAGGAAGCGGGCTCTCTAGCAAAAACTATTTTGGGTACAGAAATTAGTTACTGTGGAGCATATTTCTACCAGCCATGGCAACCACGAAAGCTCAGTTACGAATCAATTTCAGCGTGCCTTTAAGCAAGAGAGCCTAAAAACGTAAAATTTAGGTGAGAACGGACTTATGGGACACCCTGTAAGACAAATTTTTGGAGGAAAAGTCATAAAAATAAATACATTCGTCGCATAAACACCCGCAAACAGCTATATCAATGTAGAAAAGAGCCACTAGTCTACGAATGTATTCAAAAAACAATTAG